CGGTTCTTTGGGTCATATTAATATCAGGGGGAAATTCTCTTCTCTTGGTTCTCCACACTTGTCAGGGGGGAATCTCGTCTCGTCTCTCTATCGCGTCCCCTTGAGGTACGGGATCGGGAAAGTCACTTAAGCTTTACAGTCAAATAAGACACACACAACGAAATACGTTTCAGCTCTCGTCTTAGTCGGTCTATTGGAGCACTCTATAAGACACAGCGCCCTGGGGAAAAAAATCCCCAAGACTATCGCAAGGCTGACCCAAGACTCGCCCAAGACTGCTTCAAGGCTCGCCCCAAGGCTCTCCAGGATTGCTCTAGACTGCGTCAACACTCGCCCCAAGTCTCTCCAGGACTGCGTCTTTCGAGGAGTACTTGCCAAGACCAACTCAAACTCTCTTTATTCATTTTCAAAACTCTAACCAATTACAATGCAGTAAAAAGACTCTAGGGCGTAACCTTCAATCATAAAGCCAATCACACTAAGTACTGAATACGTCATATCTTTTGATTAATCGTTCACTACATTAATAACTATGGATACCAACTGTCAGAATCGCGACGGTTATCTGGTAATTAGTTCCAAATCACTGAGCCAAGTTCCGTCCAAAACTTCAAATAGGTCTAAACGATGACAGACATAACACAGCAATTCAGCTAATAATCAACTAATTAAGTCGGTTAACAGATACACAAAAACAAATTCATGACATTAAATTAAAATTCGTTGGACTACAAGTACAGACTGGGTTGACATAATTAGAGAAGACGGAGTGTAACGCTTATAACAACATGACTGGACGGTGGGCGTTCTAAGCTGAATTGACAATTTCATGCATACCCCCCCCCCTCCCAACACAATTACATATGTGCACACATATGGCGTTTGGTGGATAACTCAGATAGTTTTGAGTTGTACTAGGAAATGTATTATGTCTCTTTCTACATCTTCATATTTCACCCACCATGATAATGAAATTGAAGAATATTCACCTGTCCTAAAAAAAAAGCGAAACAATACCGGCACAATGACAGAATGAGTTCATAGTTATTACTAGCACATTTAATGTTTCGTTAAAACATAATTTACAGTTAAAGGGTGGCGGTGCTTCCCATGCACATGCGCAAGACTCCAATAAAAAGATGGCGACTTTAATCGTTGAGAAAAATAACGTGTACAAAAGGAAACTATAGACCGTAAGGAAACAAAGTCTGTATTTAAGTGCGCAAACGCAACCAGGTTAAAATTCGCACACATTATTGCTAGGGGGTAAAGCTCACTGTGCTGTGGGCGTAAACATGCGTGGCGTGACTCCTTAACTACGAAAAAACACATAACTGTTAAAGGCATAATATGTTTACTGATAGACAGAGTATTGGCGTGTGTACTTCAATTAATGCAGACTGAAGTCATTAACACGTGTATATTTAGTCCTGCTCCTCGATATCCCTAAGTTCTTGCTGAATTAATGGAATGTGTACATCGTGTTCATGTTCCCCATGCGCACCATTTATGTTTGTCCATCTTCCCAATAAATACGTACACTTACAACAAAAATGTCTTAGTCGCTGTCCCAATCCCTCGTGACTTATTTTTTTATTATCGTCATGCTCTTTTCTTGCTTTTTCTGGCATTGCTTTTATAAGTCGCTTCCAGAATTTATCAACGTTTTTGTGATTGCCGTCTTTTGGCCAAGATATGTACACGACAGTTTTCAATATAGATCTCAAACTGGGTCGCATATTTTCCATGTGAGTGATGTCATCGAACATAATCGGAATCAGTTTCTGTTTCAACGCAACCATTTCTTGGTGCGCAAAATGCAATTCGTACTCGCACCAAACACTTTCCGCAAATGCCGGTGAGAGAATCAGAAGAGTTCGCCGACTTTCTTCAATGCCTTGGATGATATTGTCGACAATAGCTGTAATTATGAAAGTGAGCCAGTCAGTAATGAGTACTTTGAATTAGGAATGGTCGATGCAATTTCACAAACTGTCAGTTTGAAAGATGTGCGTATCCTATATCGATAATTCTGGATGTGATTAAAAAAGAAGAGTTTTCAAGTAATCTGTCAAACATAACCTAGAGGTGGACCACGTGTCTAGCAATATGTTTTAAGTTATACTAACCATCCCCGACTATAAAGTCTCTGTGGTGATAACATAACTTGTAGTTATACTTCTTTTCCAGCGTTGGCAACAATGTTCGATACACGAATACCTCCTCTGGTGAGTTTCCTTTCACGGACACGAATGCGTCATATTTCCGACCGTCTGTGGAAGAAAAAGAACATTCAGAAAATAGACATATGAATGATGAGTATACATTTGCAAGTAGTCTAATACGGGTCGTATACCCACTCAGTATGCAAGATTGACATGATAACCAGGGCCGAGGTATGTGTGTGATCTTAAGGTGCAAAACACTGCTTTCTAGCAGCGCAATGAACTGTTGTATAACAGGTGTGTCAGAGAAGTGTAACTTTCTGTGTAGAAAAAAATACACTTCTGTTGAAAAGTATTTTCTAGATTTCGACGGCAGAGGGTGCGGTACTCAAGATGACTGTACTAAAGGTATATCATTTTTAATGATGAAAACAAAATTAATTATAAAACGTTTGGAAGTGTATCCAAACACTTGTTGAAAGAATATATACAGCCAAGAATATTTCTATATAATAACAGTCAATTTTGGGTTTTTATTGGGGAATATGTGCAATTGGATGAGATACCCAAAATGTCATGAAAAGAACTTTTTTTACTTTCTTTCTCGTAGGTAAGTGCCAACCAGTGGACTAAGCTGGCAACTGGGCAAACATAATATTATTCAAAGCAATATTTCTAACTATCATAATTATCAAAAACACACTATCCAATAAAAAAAAATTACCGTCGTCCTCGTAAATTCGGAATCTATCAGCAACTAGGGTTTGAATTTCGAGTCTGTATTTGTAACCAACGTACGGACCGATTACACATAACAATGCAAAAACCAATACTACTAGCGAAGTAATTATGCCAAGTACTGACAGAGAAATACCACCTGTATGAGAGAGATAAACAAAAATGATAAAATGAAGGCTACACATTACTTCAATAAACAGGGCACTTGTTTACGTGTTGTGCGCGTGCGCATACCTAGTGTTTACGTTTTACGCGCGTGTGCGTGAGCAGGAACTGGTTGACAAGAACCGGTCGTTCACACCCGAAGATAAGATAACGGCGTTGCGTTGTTAGCTGATGTTGTATTTAGGTATCTTATTGGTACAATTGTCACTACAGTCTGTGAGCTAGTGGTGATAAGTGAGCGCCATCACACTTTCGCATGTTGGTTGGCATAAATGTAAACATTTGACGTCACAGTGCGACGACCTATAAATTTCGTGAATATTCTCGGTTGGACCACAATCTCTCAATGAGGGACTGTGGTTGGACTTACGATTGGTTTTGGTCACGTTGACGGTGAATACACAGGTACCGACATTACCGTCTTCATCCACTGCCTCGTATATTACGTCATATTCTCCGGCTGAAAACCCATCACCGGGGCGATGATTCGCCGTGACGTTTACACGATCTGAATTGTCAATTACAGTCGGTTCTTTCCACGTTGCTGTGGTCTGACTGTTATGGGGTTTGAGGTGAAGGTCGATGTTAACTGGACAGCCTTCGAACACGGGTGTCTGTATATCTATAGAAAGAAAAGAAATAAACAAAAAATAAAAGAACTTTCATGTTTCTAAAATCCATGAACTTTCTATTTATACATTTGGATCCGCTAATACTGACAAAAATACATGTGCCATGTTACCTTGTTGACAAGTTGTTCCGTTCCATCCACTCAAACAAGAGCATCCGTTGTACCTGTCACAAGTGGCGCTGTGCACACAATTACATTCGTATTGACAAGACAACCCCCATTTGTTAACACCACAACCTACAGAACATGACAATAATATCTTATAAAGCGCGAAGAACGTCGCTCCGCGCCCTGATCGAATGGGACTCATAGCGACGCACGTAAAAATGTTTACATGAAATTCGAACACGCGCTGTGCGACGTTAACATTTGGCTATCAAAAAATGGTTATTATGTCTGTCCGAGGGATAAATGACCGTTAACTTACCGGTGACGACGAGTTTCCCAGTATTGTTGTATATTTTACCATCCATTCCGTGAATCTCACATTTATATATACCCGAATCTCTATCGATCACGGGATAAATCATGAGCGTCGATTGACTGTGGATATAAACGGATCAGCGTCATGGTATGGAATAGTATATGGTACATGATATATACGGTAGAGGGGCAAAAATGCTGTTCATTCACAGTGGTAAGTGAGTACGACGCGACGTATGCAACGCACACTCTAGCTGCCCTTACACAATAGGATTACTGGCATGCCAGGTTATACTTACGCATCCGGGTTCATCGTAATTCTTAATCTTGATCGCGCCGGTTCTGAGAGCCAGGATACGTCGTCTTCATCGAGTACCTGCCCATTACGATACCAGACAACATCGTAATGGTGATCGATCACTTCGATATTTTTGTGAACACAAAAGAAGTTCACAGTAACACCGTAAACGACTTCTTGAATCTGTGGTCTAACCTCTAAGGCAACTTTTTCTAATTAAGAAAGGATAGAAATAATTAATTACGTGAGAATTCCTGGATGTCGAAGAAAGAGGCGTTTGTGCCGTGTAGAAGCATGTGCTATTGCGCCCCACAGAAACCCGATAATGATCGATTGGAACTTAAAATGACGGTATATTATTCAATATAGAAGTCGCATTTAGGAGAACCAAAAACAAGAACATGAGGGTCTTTTTAGTGGGTTTCGTGTTTTGGATATTGAATGTCACTGTTGTCTTTCCTGATGTTTGTTTGTTATGTGCAAAGTGCAAGAGCGAGCATTTTTGCCGCCACAGCAGCCATATTTATGTTTGGTACTACATGACAGGGCTGTGCGACCATCTCTCTATTAAATGGCAGTTTAATGTGCTATCCTGGCGCGAACCAGGTCCGGTCAAACACAAGCACCTGCGTACCTAAACCAAGGTACCCTCAAAGTCGCATCCGTTAGTGATTGTTAGTTCTGACGTGTTCACTCTTGGCACGCTGGGACGTTTTCGAGACTACTTTATTTCATGTGTCAAAATACATACTTTTGTAATGGTATTGTATATCACCTCATTGTATTGATATGTAATAGTAGTGCCGTTGGTGGAACTGAAAATGGCGGAAGAAGTCAAACGTGAGCTTTGTGGTTTCTTTGCTGCTTCGTGAGTTCCTGAGCCAACACATTACGACCACCGTAATTAACATATCAAGTCATGTCGCGTTACACTGCGTCTCTACCAGAAACGGTTTACCGGTAAACAGCTTTAGACTTCCATGGTTTACGCCACCATGCGACAAGTGCGTGAGAGTACGTTGAAAGAGGACTGGTATTATAGATTACCCTACCTATGTCACAAGCGGGTCCAGTCCAGCCGAATTGGCATTTACATGCACCATTGAAACCATGGCAACTCGCATCATTTTGACAGATGCATTCATTTTCGCATTTAAATCCATATTTTCCTGTAGGGCAGCCTAAGTGAAGCGGGGAACAGACCAAGTTAGTAATTACCCATGCACACAACCTCAAAACTATGTAAAACTTGTGTGTTGACTAAAGACATGCAACACACAGATTTAGTAGTTATCTACATATTAAAATCTTGTGACTATGCGTAACAGTGCGATGACCGCCCTATGTTGCATAATTGTGGAAAAAATAGATTTCATTTTTATTTTTCTCAAAAACAAGAAGCCGGTTAACACCCACTTCCATTCTTAGACTATCAACTTCCATTCTTTGTTATGTACAACATCGACCGGCGAACAGTGCGACTGCGGATTATCATAGTCTTGAAATGTACTACAACAAATTGTAGAGACGATTAACTAGGGGCAGAAATAAAAGAAACTTGAAAGACAAAAAATGATTGCAACCCATTCTCTTCTACCTGCACGAATTAAGAAATGACTGGGTGTCATAGAGTCGTGATCGGTTCGTATCTGCAAAACTTGAAATATGGTGGTGTTTGCCATCCTCTGTAAACTTACCCGCGGGCACCATTTGAAATCTTTTTCTCATCAAACTTTCATGACCATTATTTAGTTCACATGGCACATCCACTGCAATGTTCGCCATATTTGAAAATCTTGCAACAACAATAATGATGTCATCGGACTCCGGATTCGAAGCGTCAACCCAACTGCTGTCTATGAACGGACTGCCAGAGAGGGCGCTATTGTTCTACAAATGAAAAACAAGCCTGGTTATCTTGGCATAACAGAATAATTGAATATTCTATTGTTAGTATACCGATGAATGTATTATGTTATAGAAGATATAAATTCACAGCCTGTCAGTAGTATGCACTACGAGGACACCGCTATAATCATAAACAACATACCGGTGAAAATGCTTGGAAAGAAACGTCAATTAAATCACATTCAATTTGAAATTCGTTGACGCCTCCGATATTAATGCTGCTTCCCGTGCGCGTTGAGAAGTAAATATCAAAATAACCTGGAAAAAGAAATATTGTGCATTAAATTCGCATCATCCCGAATGACCAATTTTTAGATACACGCATCATGTTCAGCCCGGCGAGCACGACAGTTCACGCAGATGGTCTCTGAAAGCATCATGATCAACTTGTCACGGCGTGTAACCGGAAAATTGTGTATCAAGGTTGATACACGGCGAGTGACAAATGTGGAACAGAACTCGATTACATATTTCGAAACAAATTTCAACCACTTCTATTATATTCATTCATTTGTTAATTTCTTGATATTGTACTTTTCTCAAAGGAAGAAAACTGACGCCAAACACAGTGATTGTAACGCTCACTCAGTTTTTCAGAAATGCAATTTATAGTTTTGTTCCGTTAGTAGTTACTCACATTCTCCATTATAAGAATCCGCCATGAACAACTTGTCCAGATCGAACCTCGAAGAGACAAATGTCAACATATTATCACCTTTGCCGGAAAGTACGTCATAGAGAAAACCTGAACTCTGCAAAAAAATAAATAAATAAATACATTGTCATTGAAATGTTGTTCTTCAGATCAGCTAACATCTTCCTAATAACGGATGCATTCTAATTTGATAAATTAACGAGTTATAAGAAGCAATGAAGTTGTGATTCAGTTAATTCACATACATCAACGTATGAGTACGATGGATTTTGATTCCATCCTACGAGGAGTCAGAAGACTTTTGACGAGGCTCGCAAGAGGCAAATTTAGCTGTGTATTGACATGATGACGTAGTATCATGTTTGATATTACAAAAAGATACCACTTTATTCAGCCTGCTTTGGCCTTGAGTGACAAACATTTTGATTATGTTTTTCAACACTGTATATGCGTCGAGAGACCTTCGCGAAAACAAATGGTATTGCGCAATTGTGAATCACGCACCAATAATTGAGATGTTGCCTCATAATTAGAGCGCCCTCTTTCGAGTGATTTTCAAATATTTTGTTTTCATCACCCGAGCCGTTCAAATGAATATATATTACCCGTCTTGTTTCTCTAACAAACTAATAAAACTGCCGCATCACACCAGCATATTCCCATACGTTTATTCGCAGAAATCACAAAACATGCGTGATAAACTTACGTGTTTTCCATTACCATCGGTGATTTGACACGATTCGTTATAATATGGCGGCCAATTCTCAACATCTAGTACGTGAATCGTCAGCGTGACATTATGATTACCATGGATACTCTGTAAACAAAATCATGTTTTTAGAACAGTGTATTGACATATCTCCGATGTCAATGACAAATTCCCATTTTGAAATGCCGCCTGTTACATCATAATGATTTGTAAGTAACAATCATATCGTGTTTTTTTCTGTAACAAAATTCATTTTCAATGTCCTATAGTTAAGTGTCCGTGGCAGCAATATCTCAGGTCATATCACCCACTGCCATTTACAACGGTTTATTAAAGGGCGGTAGTCGTCGCGCCACGCATGTGTGATATATATGGGTCATATATAAACAAAAATGTTTACTTTGGCTGTTGCGCAGATCAACGAGTCCAAACAAAGACGTTACCAAGCTTCAATTAGGCATTTTTAGGTGACTGGAAGTTATCGAAGTAATCACCGGCGGTAATTAGTACAAGTCGCGACCAGTTCAAACCTCATACTTGTGATTTCCATTAGAAGAACGCATTGGATTGTGGGGAAATCAATGTTTATCAACACACATGTCGGCACATGCGGCGGCGCGACGACTACCGCCCTTTAAGTTATTTCGCCTAATGTGACAAGGAACAGCGATATTTTAGGTCATATCGCCCATTGTTCTTAGAAGAAGAAAAAATAAAAAAAAACAAAAAAACAACAAGACGAGATGATTTATATAAAGAATAATTTATAATTATAATTATAATTTTTGCCTTTATTTGTCTTTAATTATGACTGAAAGAAGCTGATTGAAATTACAAAGTATGTAGTATGTTTAACAGCTCATGTATGAACAATAACTTTAATAAATATGATTTTACTTGGTAAAAATACTGTATTTTTCCGCATAAAAACGAAAGAATTTTACAATATCGAAAACGGAAAGTCTTTGTCGCAGTGTTCAGCGAAATTTGAGTTTATATCACCCATTGTTAGTAGCAGAGATATCCCCTGTCGAATCGTCCATTCCATGCAATATCGTCCATATGTATTATCAATCTGCCAGGCAGAGTTCTATTTCTACGAGTATATCTCTGCCATCTCACGATCTTATGCTTGTCGTTGATTGGTCGATGCGTCACAGTAGCACTACTTTCAAAGAAGCCCACCAAAACACTGTCATGCAGGTGTTTGATGATTTTCGAACACGACGAAAGCGTACGCGTTGTTTGTACATTCTGGCAGTTTTCAACTTAGTTATTTGTAGTTAATTTTTTTAGCTTTCCGTACAAACGTAGTGGCAATAGGACGAGTAAGTTAGCTGTCAATGCCAATAAGTGTTTTTGTTTGTTTATATTTTTTCTCCTGGCGATCGACAGGGCTGTCATTATGGTGAACCGAGTAACACCTTAGTAACCGTTATTACGCGATGAAATTATTTTCTTTTGTAAATTAAAACTATTTTACAGTTTTCAATGCGTTTACAAAAAAAAATCAATATCAGATATCAATAACACATTTTAAAATTGTTTATCAGTAGAAATAAATCAATACGAGAGTCCTCTAATAGCAAACACACGCCAAGGATACGCGTAGTAAAAGTCTTGTTTCACCACAAAATGGCGGTGTGTGGTGGCAGAGATACTTTCGGTTGTCTTGCCGCAAAGAACTCTGGGAAGGAGAATGATGTATTATATCGCCACAACTCACTTCTCTCATAATGTTTGTACTAGTGACCCAGTTAGTAAAAATCGCGTCAGTATTAACACGGGGCCGATACTTAATTTTTTTTATATTGCGAACAGTGGTTAACCAATCAGAGTGTCTGTGCATCTGTCGTCAACTTATTAGAATTCGTGTAAATTGCGATCATATGGCATTATCAGAGTAATCTGACAGAATCAGCGGGTGAAAAGAGTATGCATACCACGATGTCAAAAAATACAACAAACTTACTGAATGAATCAGTTTATTACGCTTTGCCTACCACGTGACAGCTTCAGGGAAATAGAAAGTAAACACGGACATTTGACTGAATGCAGTATTGTGACGCTGTCATTTTGTCTGAGGACACATATCTTTTGCCTTGTGTAGCTTTGTTATTACCCTCGTAAAAGGGTGCGGGGCAGCACAGCATAACCGCCACGTACCGTACAAGACAACTTGGTATAAATAGCTAGTAACAAAACGAATTTCCGTTGCATTGTTTATTCGACACGTACCCTGCATACACCTATCGTCAGTACGTACATGGAATCGACACCATAGTCGAGAAATCTGCTTACGTAGACGACTCCATCTTGGTTAACAGCAAACCGTTGGTTCTGAAAAGTGAGAGATTACTGATCATATACAGTAACAAAGTAAAATCACATCAGATTGATAGCAAGGACTACCTGTCTTCAAGTGGATATTAATTACCAGGTCCCGGTGACGTGGAACCACACCTGCACATTGATAAGGTTCCGTCACCCTCACAAAAGAAGTCATGCGCGTGCGTATTAGTGCGATTTACTCACGCAACAGAATGTATGTACGGTAAGTATACGATAAGTATTCCTGTAGTATTTTTGGTCTTTTTTTAAATATTCACAAAAAATACCTATCATCGCACTTCTATTCGACAATTTTAATGAGAGGACAATTCATTCATTTTTCGACTTACACTTACTGGGGGACAGCCAAAACAGTCCTGCAGGGTTGTGAACATTTAAGTTAAAGACAAAGAAAAAATACACAGGTGACATCAACTTGAAGATTGGAAATCGAGCGTAACCATGGTAAATAAATGATTTGTTATTCTTAATTACGGCAACTTGTAATATGTGAGCATGAAAACTATAAATCTAAACTGAACTCTAAACTGAAAATGGCATACTAGGCTGGTATTTTGAGCGTCTCGCATGTGAAGCCAGCCCGCATGTCACGGCAAACAGCATGTTCGTAACACCGGGAATACTGGTTTCACTAGACTCGTTTCTTTGCATGTCTTCTAACTATGCGTTATGCGTAAAATTCGATTGGCTTTTTTTTTTATTAACAAGCTTTTTAAAGTAACGAATAACCGTAAGGACAATTATAGAAAACAAACAATGTAGCACACCTTATTTCCGGTCAGTATTGTGACTCCATCTTGGGTCCTCCCTGCGCCAATGCCTATTGGTAAAACGATAATTTCTGTACCGATTCCAACGTCCTTCGTGTTGATTAACGAATGAAATGAAAATAAAATGAAATGCCCATAACATTAGATCATAAATTCTCTTAAACCATTAGTCTCCAAAACTTATAGTGGCCATATCGATATATTTAAACGTTAAAAGCGGAGGCATTCAATGAATAAGAAAACAGGCGAAAAATTATATTATAAATTAACCAAATAAATAAAATGCAATACTACTATTAATAATTCCTGACAAAACTCACCTCGTTGACGGACACTATCAAATTTGAAAATGAATTCTCTCCACCACAATATAATACCCCCATAAACAAAATGGCGATTCTAATCCAGGCTACGTCTGACATGCCTTGTTTGGGAAACAAAATCGAACACTTCGAAACGCCCCAATATCTACCAATATTTAAGCTAGAATGGCAATATCAGACTCAAAACCAAGGGAAAGCGTAACCTGCAAAGAAGATGTTAGCAAAACGAAGACTTTCTGAAGTAGTTTTTAGCGTGTCAATCAAACAATCGATGACGTCAGATGGCGATTAGTCATTCACCATGTGGTCATCATGCACAAATTCATAGATATTTTTTCCATTACTCATTAACTGTACAATATCTGACTCTAAATAGTGTCTAAATATGCAATAATTTATGCTCATAGAAATCTACAGTGGGCATTTTCTATATACATATGAATCACGTGGGGTTATTTCATAATTTGTCCTGAATGGTACCACGCCAGTTATATAATGCATTTTAATATTTCACAATAACTATTAAGCAAGTTCCTCAATCACTGTTATGATGAATATCCCCATCTATCCCAAAAAATATTACACATGAGCATTGACTACTTCCCATCTCTCCCATGCCTTTCACCTACCTAATACCAACAACGCTTACCTAGACGGATAATTTTGCTATAACATATTTTAAGGACTTAGAGGTCTGTTTCTATCGACATCAATCCTGCTGCCTTTATTTCTATTCCGATATGAAGAAGAGTTCTCGTCAAAATGGATTAAAATCAACATCATTTTAATGTCAAGTTCACTGACTGAACTGACTAAATTGTATATTGTGAATTATATTATAATTATATATTCATCTGAACTAGATTAGATAAAATCACTAAACAGTTTCTTGTTTTTGGTGTCAGACATTTGACTTTGCCTTAGCTTTTTACTGGACAGTATGTGAGTGTTATTGTAAACAAGACTCAATAATTTGGCTTAACTAATGATCTCACCATTGTTACAGTAGTCGGCTGCAATTTATTCTCCAATATATTTGTTTAACACTTGGCACAATTTCCTGACAATATGCCCTTAGCCATATTTTGTTTCTCACATTGATTTAATTTATTATGTATGCTACAGTATGTGTCAATTGTTCGTCCATGTTGTACCTGTTATTTTGCTAAATGATGGAAAATATATTTATTTCTACTTTCACTGGAAAATCTTGGAAATTACCTAGAGTACATTAAAACAACCAGAACTTTCAACTTTCAGTTATTGTCGAGAATTCAAACTGTAAATAATGAAGTATAATCGTGACTTATTAGCTGAATTAAAATTCAGTCATCAAAATAAATTTCCAAACAAAGGGACATGTAGGCACTGCAGTGAATTTCCCAGAAGTCATGCATGAGCTCCGAGAATCATTTCGTCATCCACACCTTGTCGCGACCCATAGACTGGCGTTGAATGACAATATACTTAATCAATACACATTGTCCCACCCAACCTCACCCACTGATCCATGAATGGGTCCATGGCTGTTGCTATACGTATTATTATGAATCGTACGCCAGAGTACGTAGAGTGTATAGCTGCGTCAAATACTGGGCTTCGTGTAATGTGTTGATTGGCTATTTAATGCTATGACGTAGTTTCATAATTTTAAAGTTGATGCAACATTAAACATCTATTTTAAGCAAACCGTCCTAGTTTCCATGTACATCTCCTGGATTAATTATTAATACCACTGCGTTGGGGAGGCGGTATTTGTATTCTTGTATTGAGCACCAGTGATTGACGGGCCGAACAAACGGATTCTTACTGGCGGACAACCTAGAGCCATGGGAATTTTCTGGCTTCAGCTTTTCATGCCTATGTGCCTTTGCAACTCACGTCAAGTTCTCTTAGGGAGTGCATACTGACTCATCGGATTGTATTTAGCCATAATATTACAAATAACGCTAAGAAGAGAATTTATCATTGCAATTGCTCAGAAAAAAACAAATATTGGTTTCAATATAGATGAGTCGTGCTTGAACACAGTGAACAGCATTCGCAGTCGCACACGTACTGGAAGGCTACCACCTCTTTCATGCCCAACCCTTACCCGATACCAACAACATCTCCCCATACAGATAATTGTTCCAGGTATTTTGAGGTTAATGAGATTTAGAAACACAACATTGATACTAAAAAAAATGATTAGCATCAATTTTGATTTCAATTTCCTTTCCGTCTATAGATTATTGTAATCAGATATTCGAACATACTGTAAAGAGAAGAGTGTATGCGTGCTAAATAGATATTTAACTGGACGTAGCTCATCTATTTACCAGACAGTATGAGTGACTATATAGACAGTGCATTAGTATGGGCAGTTTTTTAAACAAATATTCATTACCTAGCAACAGCCCACATTCCCTCTATTTTCATAACATTAAATCATGGCATTATACCACGAGGACTGGCAAGGAGAGTTTCTAACACTGATCTTACCATGTTTTGTGTTAATGTCTGTCAATTGTTCTGTGATATTATTTTGTAATTTTGCTAAACAGATTATTACGAGAATGACGAATGTCTTGGCTGTTTAAATTACCTGAAGTTCAATAAAACATCTAGAAACAAAATCAACATTTCCAACTTAGGTTCGAATTTACTTTTGTATTTTCAAGATGTCTATAAATTTAATCAATTCTTATAAAGTTTATTTGCTGAATTAATGTTTAGGCATAAAAAACAAATTTACAAACAAAAGGTATTACAACGCGCTTCTTAGAAGTCATGCATGAGTTTCGAGAAACATTTTGTCATCCACACCTTGTCACTACCCATGAACTGCTGGTGAATTAAAACATACCTAATCAATGACTTTTGTTCCGCACAACCTCACCAAGGATTCAGCGAGACATTAGGTTAGTGGTTGTTAGTGATAAAAATTGTGAATGTTTTAGATTAAGCCCGACCACGAGTACTCTCCGTGAATATTATTATAAAATATCGAGGCCACGGGCTGAACCATTTTATCACGTGGAAAATGTTATACCCCAGAAGACTTCGAGTAAGAGAGTTTTATCGGACTATAAACCCACTGCCTTTACCATCCATGAATATATATTTTACCGGATCCTCAAACTTTTGGAAGTCCCAAGTGAGTCCTGTAACTATTTTACAAGGAATTCCTGATTAAAAAGGGGATAGTTCCCCTACTTTCAAATGGAATATGCGTTGTATGTGTTGCGCAATGCGTGAATGTAGCGAGACCTTTCGAGCGCTCTGGTCATTGATTTCATATAATTGGGAAACTGAAACTATGGCAGGCGGTACACAGGAGATCTGCATATGAATATTCATGATCTAAAGCGAACAATTATAGAATTAAGAACACTGCCTGGCATCATGTTCTAGACAGCTCAATAAATCTGTCCGCTGTGTGATCTCAGAGTTCGTATCGAACTATTCTGGTTTATTCTTAGCACAGTAACACTTGATCAGTGTTGCATGCTTTTTAGTGCATATGAATCTCCTGTTGTTTAATTGTTTGTATTGACCTGTTGACATGTTGTTACCGACATTTAAGATAGTACCAGTGTGAAGTTGGTGGATGGTACTGGCCAATGTGGTGAGTGACTAATTATTGTATGACGTAGTTTTATAATCAAAGTACATCGTGACTCTTCACATACTAAGCGTGCAATGCGGGAGTACGTCTGATGTTGGTTTGGCCATAATGCATAATGTCTGAACGATTGCCTAGAAGGAAGCTTGTGACAATTCAGTGAACTAGAGAGATCTCTCACGACAACAACAAACTCCCCCCGCCTACGGAGGAATAAAAATCTACCTTATGCTCAGTAAATTTGCTATATTACCAATAACGAAGTTTGGGAGATCCTGTGTTTGGTCACTGGGATATGGATAAGCTACTTGATTAGATTATTCAACAAGAGATTGAATATATTTTGTCTAAGAAAAAAAAAATTATAATCCGTCCTTGTTATTCGGAGACCCGCAAGGTCAGAAAAATACAGCAGTGTTCTAGCGATAACTTGATCTCGGACGGAATAACGCATAGATTATTTAGATCAGTGCATATTACTACATTAAGATAAATCAGAACGGTATGGGAAAAAAATAAAATCTGGCATCAGTTTCTCCCCACCGAATATTGCTAATGGAGGAGACGCCACCGTATCAATTTTCGAATATGATTTGATATACTGTTATCAATATTTACGATTTAGAATTCGTTTGACATCATATATATATAATAATAGACATATTTAGTATTCAGCGAAGCGCGATTCTCACTCAAAACAATAGTACATTTTGCACCAATTTGCATCATTACATCGAATGTCAATATAATTTGCATATTTTGACACCCGGATGAAAGCAGAGTTGTGTCGTACTCGTTCTAGAGATGATTATCGATATCGTTTCAAGGTGCAACACAGTAAAGGAATTCCCGTACTTCAGTGCATGCGCCGCCAGCGATCGAACCATGTTTTTTTATTCTGCTGGGATTACACCCACTCAAAGCATACCAATTATCTGTGTATTTTTGTTCATGATGGGCATATAATTATATTTTATTATAAGTGTATTTAATTCATATTTTATTACTATTATTGGGATTTATACACTACAGATATTTTACGTTTTTGTTTTATATGACATGTTACCGATCAATATTCCAACAGAATATGTAAAACCACCGACGGTACCCGGAACATATTGGGACAATCTTGTCCACATCTACCTGATCTGTCACGGGTTCCTCTGTTGTCTCATTATCCATTGGAAAAGAATGTAGAGTGAAGTTTATAACCATGGCAACACCATCAGGCTCCAAAGTTATCGTTTTAGTTTCCCGGATGAATGAAGCAGCTGAAGCATGGACGCGATACGTGCCAGGTTCAGGTAGAAGTCGCCAATATTCGCCCGTGGATGCTGAAAGAAAATTAATTATTATAACAGTTTACTAATTTCAAAAGACGTACCCAGGCGCCCAATTAAACAGCGATCAGTGCCAAAAGACGTCACATTCGATGATGATGTCATTGTTTGTTTACTCGAATACGGAAATTTCAGAAAATACGTTGTATATTCCTTCCGATGACGAATCGGATCAGCACCTTTTAGTACTCGGTCTCAGACCAGATCAACAGAATGTTAATACGAGTGGGACTAAACATCATGGATCAACAAGTTGGCTTATGTGGTATTGGATGATATATTTTCTTATAAATTCTGTAATTTCTGAGGCAGCGTGAACACACCGTTAATATGGCGATGTGTTAGCAACGATATGCTATATAATTATAACACCGCTGATACCCCTATAGTCATTTATTTAATGATGCAGCTACTATATATCTCCCTAGCTGACGTCAATCAAGGCGATATATCCACGCGTTGTATGCATACACTATACACTGTTAGTATGGCATAGACAATTTAATGTTAAATTAACGAACAATCCAGATGCATTGATTGAACTCAAGGAAAATAACTGCATGCGTCAAAACTACCAAATTCAAAATATGTTTGCTTCTCCCAAGAAATACCAAAAGCGATACCGGCGATAAATGGTTTCAATAATTCAGTTTGATTTCAACGATCGTGAGTTGGTGATAATTCATTTTACAACGGCGTAACGAAATTCGTAAACGATTTTATCAAAACGGCGACCGAGATTGCCACGACACTAGAACGTTTACATTCAATAAAACATACTTGACATGAAGAGTTATAAAACAGCGAGTCACGTCCAACAATAATTTAAAACTGCCAGTACTTGTACGAATGGCTAAATATAATCATTCACATTGTCATCGTCAAATTTTCAGACATAAAAAAAAAAGAATTTCGGACATATTCAAACGTATCAATTTTATTGTGGAATATAAGCTGTAATCGTACTTTTATGACGTGTTGTATTCACTTTAATAATAATATGCAAGCATGCAAAAAAGTTAACACAAATTAAATTGTATATAACAAAAATGTCAACGTATTGTTTGTTATGCAATAGACACGTAATTACATGTTTTTCAGCTCTGAGTATCGTATCTGGGACACACAGGCAATATTCATCAAACGTTAATTTGTGTCATATAATGCCACATCACAATGTTTAAAATCAGGGTAAGTTACTCACTTGAAGTAATGTCGTGATCAATCCCATCTACTTCAATTACAGCGTCATTTATTGGATTATTATTTTCATCCGTTATCACACCTTTAATACCTCGATGAACCTACAACATAGAAAATATGAATATACATTCAAAGACATCCAAATCATGTAAAACTGTTCGGATATTGTCTAGGCCTATTCATTATTTATTAAATTCTGATTGCAATCACCATAAATCACTATATTCTCAGTTTTGTATGATTGCATCTCACCCACCTGTTCGATATATGCAAGCAGAGCCTCTCTGTTGTCATCCCATATACCCGGTAATGCCTCTTTTGCGGGAAACTTTATGCATCCAAGTTCCAGAGTGATTTCGAAGCAATTAGTGGCCAGGTAGTTGTAATCTTGCATCCCTGTCAAACACAATGATGTGAAGCAATTATAACGTATTAAGAGATAATAATTACAGAGGTAAGCCACTCATACCATGTCCACGGTCACCACTACAATCATCATTATCATCTCCACCAACAACAATGTCATCGCCACCACCACCACCACCACCACTACCACTCCTCCTTTTGTTAAACAATCGTGCGTACTGTGACAAGGTTGGAACTGGCATGAATTTGGAATGATGGTTCACGCATATGCGGTGTTATATTATAATTGCATTTTAACCTACATCGGAAAATATAAATCCTACCGGTCTATACAGAGATATGGTGCGAAACCATCAACCATAATTTGTATTTGTCAACCATGCTGCCAAACGTTCTTTTTGGATATTTATTACTACGCAGTATACCGATATCACCATTCATAATTTTATTACGCGGAACTATCATGATACATGGAATAAATTCACATTCCTAGCTCCTCGGTGCCACAATCTGCAGTAAACCCAATATCGATTTTGGTAATATATTTCCATGCCAATATTATATTGATGTACCCACCGCCCCTAATACTGTACCAACTGGCGCCATTGGTAATGCCATCTACAAATACATCGCCTCCATATTCACATGGTGTTTTCCTGGTGCTCATTTCCCCGTGATTTTTCGAATACGTCCTAGCCAGCTGGCGAAATAACTGGTCGTCAGGGGTAGCGGCATACTCGTTTATATACGTGTTGCGTGAGGCATCGTATGGATAGTTGGCAACCAGTTCGCCGTTATGCAGATTCGCCGAAAGTACAAATGGGTAATCGTCGAGCCAATGCATTACAGCAAGAGTTTCATTTTCACGAAGCATCTGGAAAATAATATATATGCATCTTTGGATTAATCATGCATTCTAGCGATGTCGCCAAATTGAATGCGACAGTTCTAGTGTTATTTGGAAACTGTGACTACGTTATTTGTCAAGATAATGATAATTCGCACATAGTACGCTTTTTGTATTTCTAATAATTTCTAATTTGCAAATAATGCGAGTTATCTCATCTCAAACGAAATTAATTCTTTGACGAGTGTAACTTAATTCATGCAAACCTAATGTATAAAGCCGATTGCTTTATACAAGAAAAATAAGTTGCTTTTGTTTTTGTGTTAATGTTTATAATTGTGCACATGCAATTGTCGAATACGTTTGGTTTACTATATCCTACCTCACTGTACATCGTTGAATAACTTAAGTGATGATTTTGTCCATCATTTCGTAGTTTCTTATTGTAAAGTTTAGGAAAGAGGTCTGGGAAATTTCTATTGAGATCGACATCATTAGCGTTGTTTCTTCCCACATACATCCAGTGACGGTATCCCTGCAATGACAAGTGCACACATGCTAGCTGAATAGAACGGCATACGATCATTGTGACATTCAAGTTAAACACAGAAACCATACTCACATGCCTTTCCACGTAATCATACGCATATTCGAATCCATCTGGATTCATTGTGGGCATTATGTGTATTCGCGTCGTGTTCAGAATGTATTCGACTCTTGTGTTTCCATTCTTATATTCGTCACATAAATATTGAACTAGAGATGTTAGTATTGCTCTACCAGTGACCTCGTCTCCGTGCATATTACCAATGTACTTGAACTCTGGCTCCACTGTAAGAAAATAGTAATGACCAATATTATAGGGTGACCTCGATAAGTGGAGAGAAATGCACAACATAACAGAATACATACATTACGAAGCCAGTTATTTTGGGTGATTTTTCTTGCAGTGTGGCATTTCTTATATGTTATTATAGCTATGAATCGTAGTAACACTGTATCAAATTTAATGTCGTCATATAATCAGTAAGTTAACACACTCAATTGCCTACAATGGTGTGCAGTATCACTACAACCCACATAATGGAGTTAATGCTGCTGCTTAACGCGTTTATGGAAGTACTGGGCGCTTCAGCAAAAACAATACAGTATAGTAAGGGACATTTTGGCACATACCGATACAGTGGATTTTAAATGGTTTGTTGATAAATTATTGCAATGTTATCTTACAATCAGTACATTTATTTTAAAATTCATGTTTGCTACGAGAAGATATGATACAAACACATTAAATGATTGTGTTCCCTTAACTCCGTACGAAACAATGTGGGATATAAAACATGTATACATATATGTACGTTTACTATGTTCAAATACAAACTATCAATGCCGAAACTGGAGATACTTCCAGGGTTATGTATATAACTGTACGACTGCACATAGGACATCGTTTTTCCCCGATACAAACAGTTTGCAATGTGCATTTGTGGCAGATCTTTATGCAATCATGTTCATATTTTGTTGAAAATAGAAATACATGGGAATGGTTACGCATTGACGTTATGTTTTCAAGGGGTATACGTCAACATATGTATATCACAGGTATGTCAGGCACGTAGAATATGTTTTAGTTTAAAACATTTTCATCATTTGTCCATGAATATCAAAATAAATACTACACGTATAACATATAAACAGTTTTAATCAGAAGGTAAATTTACGATTACTAGCAGAAAACAGTAGCTCAATTCTGAAACATTGTATACTCACACATCTCATGTTGACCTGGGTTGTCCGTCATCTCTAGAACCCATAACTTACGCCCTTCAACGCTGTAGCCGATACTGTACAGTCTGGTGATGCTAGGACAGTCTGATGCTACTCTCTGGAGAACGTTAACTAAATCATCGTAACGGTAGTGATCGATACAATATACAATATGTACGAGAGCAAGGATTGATACTGCATGTAATATTGCCCACTTCATCATTATATATATGCAAATACCAGGTGATTATCTGAAAAGATAACAAGCATATTTTATATTATGAGTAAATATGTGTAATGCGTCATCATTGAATTTGAATGGCGCCACGATCTGAAATTTCAATGTAAATTACAATCTACTGTAAAACATGTTAAAAAAGCGACATGCAATTTTAGCGAATTTTGGTAAAATGACGTAATAGCGAAAAGTTGATTCAGCGAATCTCTCTTGTCATTGTTGATTTCCCGTTTTCACAATACTTGTCTGTCGCGTGCCAAAACAAATTATCACCTCCATAAAACAAAGAAATGCTGTCAAGTGTAATTAGGAAGCCCCCCCGCCGGATTTTTATGTTCCGGATTACTGTATACAAATCCCCACGCCTTGGCCATTTTGAATTAATAATAAAATCATTAGCGACATCTTGAATTAGCGAAACAGTTCTCTCGCTAAATTCGTTAAAAAGACATGCTTGGAAAAAGGCATATTTTACAGTACATACTAAGGCCATTATGCAAAACATCGCCATTATCCCAGAAGTAAAGCATAAATATACGAAATGTCTAAGTCACGCTAACACACACACATATATATTTTATAAGTCAAAATGGTAGTGATGATATGGATATCTCATTAACAAACAAGGCTGACACATTAACGAAGATTTGTAGGCTGGAGTGTTGTGCAATGTGGTTATGGTGCGATATCAAATAATAGGGTGCGCCAATCCAACTTCATCTGAACGTGATTTGACAGTTCACGTGGTCAGGTGTAGTTCAATGCCCTGTACGTTCGGTGACAGGAAACAAAAGTGAAAAGGGACTTCATGGGATTTAAATAGGATATAAGTTTATGTCAATTGATTAACATGCCTATGTAGAGCGCCTGCGACATGCGGACATAATAATAACAATTCTTAGTTGGTATTTACATGGTTATTCCGAATTCGAAATCCCAGGAGTGTTACCAGCTCTTGATATGTATTTTCGACGATAAGCCGCTATTTATAAAATTGTCACGTAAACTGCCTCTACGGATATACTAGCGGTATGAGACCAAAATGCGACAATCACCAGAGAGTATTACACAAATACAGACTGTATGAGGAACGCAATTATGTGTATCGCGTCAGATTACAATTTAACACGAATCAACATTCATTAAAAACAAAAGTTTCGTAAACATTACAGCTCATGACATCACTCGTATCAGCCAGCTCTACGTACAAGTGATAAGGATGATAACCTTGCAACACACTGTATTTTATTAAGCGTAGATATCACAGACCAACAAATGAACTTTAACTGTAGGTCACGAAAACAACATCCTATAGTAACTCTAACGTACACCGGATTTTATATAAAACTATTTTTAACACGTAGATACAATAATCTAGACTTCAATTTCCCTGGAAAGCGAGCAACTGTAAAAGTAGATGACTATTAGAAAGTAGCTATTTCTATACACGACACACCGCCAGGATTCGACTTAATTGAACATAATATAATTGTAATTGTTCTAGGACAGTTTTCAACATGCGATCGTCTCTCTTCGCCAGCCATGTCTATTCACTTGACTGCGTGTATTCCCACAAACCGGTACTAGATTCTTCTCACTCTATCCAAATTGCCTCATATCATTGAATGCAGATGATTGATACATATAGTTAATATGACCATGTGATTCAGTGTAAATTCTAGTACATACCTCCACTGGCTGTATAAGGTCTCACTTCAATCTGGCTGACCTTTGACCATGACATCAGTTACAATGGTTGTCCGTTTGTGCCGTAACTAAATATCTTGATTAAGTGTACATGTAGTTTCTATGGAAACAATTAGCATGTAGGCCAGCACTCTGGCTCGAGCCGTTATTATCATTCCCTTCGCCCATTAGTAGACATCTATCGAGCTTATAGAGACAAATGATGCGCGTAATTTCGATACTAAATAGGTGGTTTATATCATAAGTATATCGTTATACACTGGTAGTGCATGTAGATTTCGGGAGTTACGTGAATGAAGTGTAAGAGATAGGAGAATACAGACCCTGAAATAAAAAGGATTTAAAGTGGAACCGTACATTTATTTTCAAACATTTATATTACACTCCATAATCATACTATCGAGATCAATTTATTTTATAAAACATTGTGTAAAATGAAGTTTTCAAAACAATTAAACAATTGCTTCTTGAAAAAACAAAACAATAGCGCTGTTAGCGTGGCCATATTTGTTTTGTAACCGTCTAAGTGGACTATATACATATTTTGAAGTGGGCGTTGAATATTCAACAATAGCACTGTGACGCCCCTTTTAATTGTTCTGGATCAAGTAAAAATGGAAAAAAGTGGCCAACAGGTGCCAATTTCTGTTTTTACAAACTTAAACAACTATTCACTATTCAAAAATTAGCTTATTTTTTCTGTCGCATACACAAATGAATGCTTGTAGAATACTATTCTCACATTGGTTGGGCAATATCTAAGCGTAATTCTCATTTAAAAGTTGTCAAGGGAACATGTTTTGAACAGCAATGCAAGTCTTCTAAATAAATGTCAATCACAGGTTTATTCAAATCATTAATGAACTCTTAGTGACAATACATATTTCCACAACAGGCAATGTTGTGCGTATGATGCTATCACGTAGGATCAATGCCTCAAATTAACGTATGTATGCAAAAGTAAACAATGGGTCATTCAACCTGCATTTCCCGTGATGCACTGACGCAGTCCAAAGGTATTCGTATCCGTATGCGATACATATATCAGGCTTTTATCTACAGTGAGAAATCAGACATCAGACTTATACACATCCATGCTGTTCGGGTCCCTATGTTTACGCTATTCGTTGAAGCATTCACTGTTTACCGGACGAGTTTAGTTTGGTGAAAGGGGAAAAATATTCCTGGGTATGATACTATGGACAGTACAGTTGTTCTATCTTCGACACAGAGACGGCAAACCCGATTTTCACTTAAAACAATAACATGAAAAGTTTTAAACACGTGGACACATTTCAAACAAAGTATTTTGTTTTGGAATATGTTTTGACGTGTTGTACGAATTTGAAATTAGTCGATGTTGGGTCAGTAGAAATACCGTTACAGTTACTGCGACCAGCAGGTAGGTACAAAAGACTGTTTACAATATGTTCACAACGGAAGATGATAGTGCCTCGTTATAGTCCTACAAACAGTCACAAGTATAAATGGATGTTATTGGATCGGACGATTTACACCTTCGCCAACAATAAGCACTATCTTATTGAGCTAACGTACCTTCTTTTTCGACAACTGTCAATGTTCTCACAATCTCCATCATCTTTATGATCATTCACACTTCAATTTAGTCCGGAAAAAACATTTATTAAAAAACTAAATACTAAAAACTTATACTAAATAACATATGGTGTGTTTTCCGTACCAATCCGATATGTACGCCGTTCTGCCAAACCGAATGATCACATGGTCATGACGTCCGTCTCCATAACGTCATACATACACAAACGGCAAAATCTTCGGCATATATTAAAGCTTGGAGTCCCAAGCGATGATAACAACACACGCTAAAACGCAAAGGCTCATGGGTAGACGCTTGTTTGTAAACAATGCCACGCTATGGCTAAGTGACGCAGGCGCAGGTGACGACTCCCCCGCTTTAACGGTTACATGTATAGCAAAATACAAACAAATTATTAATTGTGATTCTGTATTGTGACGTCTGTCGACCAGTCTGTGTTGTTACACTACGTAAACTATCCATTATATCTTGATATCATCTATGGCGATATATTTTGACAAGAACACAGGATCATCTATTTGTCCCGTATGTCGAAAATATATCTTTATACTTAATGACATATCGTTATCTCAATAACCCCGACCTCTCTCCAGCACAGTGTATTATCTGTGTCTTGTTTTAGATTGTCAAAAAAAAAATTGTTACATTATGATAACAAATTTCTGAAAATGTTATAAAACATTGCATGTGAATTTAATATTATTTTAAAAACTACAGTTTATTCACCTCATATCTATTGAACATTACATTTATAAATATTATAATTACTTACACAGTGATACATGCTGTCAAAATAAACGTACTTGTACAATTATTTAATATCAAAATATGAACCTACATTATATTATTGTAAATATTTGTTATGACCAGTCAAGTAGCCAGTAATGATTTGTTATTTATATTATTGAAATGCGCAATTGGAGCGATATTTCATTACTTGCTTACATAGCTTATCATATACGTATGTGAACTTTGAGGAATGCATAATTGTATCCTGAGGAATGGAGCATATCCAAGCATAAATGTCAACTCGTCAGCCATGTGAGTTCACAAACGAAAGTCTCATGCGTTGTTGGCTTAAATCTGAGAAACGGACATGAACCGAGGTTTAACGGAGCACTAGTTGTTTTTTCTCAATAAATTACTTTCAGTCAGTCAAAGTAATTGGCCTATGTACATGCATTTGTGTTATTATTTAGTCTGAACAAAACATGCCCAAAAATGAAATTGACTTTGTTTCCGATGCGGGACTGAAAAAGGCACACACATGAGTTGACTTGTTTTTTTTTGTGTTTTTTTTGATGCTCAGAGAACTTTTCCAGGATTCATCAGATTTTTATGATCCAAAGCAAATTTAATTTGTTTCATTGCTGCAATTCCTGTTTCCCCAATTTCTTCCACTAAGAGCGCTTTCTTTCCTAGTCCAATTCCATGTTCACCAGTACAAGTTCCACCGAGTGATATCGCATGCCTAGACAATTAAAATATTAAAATCATAATCCATCCCGTTACAATATATAATGTACCACCGCTAATACCATGATCGTTCAACATATGGTATGTAATGCATAGAATACTAATTTGACATATACTATATGAACGCCACGATAACCAGTCTTAAACAACTGAGGTCAACCAATCAACCATAACCATATCTGTTATCCATTGTGATCAATGTTTTACAGTATGTTTCTGTAATTGATTTCAAATATGTAAGAAAGATTGTTTGTCAATTTCCAATCTTGTTTGTGCTTATTTGTGCGAAGTTCGAATGAGTAATTCATACTTGGGAAAAACAAATAATGAAGAAATGTACACAAGTACGGACCATTGTTTGTACAATAACTGTCAATATGTGAGAAATTTATACATTTTACAAATACATCTATTGATGCAGCACGTCGTTTCTTATTACATTACGTCACATGTGTGTATTATAAATGTGCTTCTTTTTTTTCGATAATCTTCTAGGCAATACATGTGAAAAAATATTACACTTTACCTTGCTATTTTTGTGGCGACCTCCTTCGCTTTCCTGAATTCCTCTTCATCATTTGGATCGATAAGTAAGATGACATGGAAATTCCCATCACCAACATGACCACATATAGGGCCTTGATAATAAATGATAAAAATATATTATGCAGGGCCAGGAAAAGGCATACATATTATTCCATAATAATAGGTGATTTTCCGTACAATTGCGAGATCTCGCGAGATGCATGAAAGACGCGCGTCGGACGTCTGCCACAAAAAATCGAACGATTTGACTTTAAACTCGAATTTCTTTATTTCGTTGCTTACATCGACTGGCCAATTTTCGAATACCCTCACTTAATCGAAATTGTCTATCATCAAATGTGGACAGCACATTATTAAGCATGGAAATATCTCCCAAAATACTTTCGCGTTTGTCAAATCCCACGCGATGTTTGACGCCACTATGACGCTTTGACCTTTGTTTGTCCTGTTTTTACGTTCGAATTCACGCATAACGCGTGATTCTCGCAGTGAACGGAAAATGGTCTATTGAGCTAGCTCATTAACTAACACCGCGTAGACATCTGTAAATTAGACTGATTAACCCTTTATAACGAATTACATTGCTATAACAATAATAACCGACCCACATCGCCATATTGGAGAGGAGTCAATCATATGTAAAATAGTATGCGAGTCATAGACGAGCACACAATCGAGCTTAGAACAGTTTTAAAGTAATAACGCTTATTGTTAGCTTGTATTAAGCCCCAAAATCAGACTGGTGCGCCAACCGGTGCGCCTGCGTAAAACGACGATCATAAATAAACGTTCAAAGTTGATACATATATACTTGCATGATTTCTCATCACCGAATATAACTTCAAACTTTTATGCATATTCAGGACCAAACACAAAAAAATAATGCTTAAAATTCATTACTTAAAAAACGTTGACATATTCAACTTATTAATATATACATTTCAGTATGAAACTGTAATCCATCAGCACTTATTTTGTTCTTAATACGGCATTCCTACAACGCCCTCTAATGATGAAACGCTTCTGTGATGTCAAAATGACAGAAATAAGTGATGGCAATTTGGCTCAAATCGGCCACTGTTTTTGGTTACATAATTGTTCTTCCTATTTAATGTAGTAAATCTTACAAAAACCTAATCGTAATTAATGGATGAATGTATGTAAAACAATATCTACGATCGTGTGACCTACGTCGAGCGTATTGCACCTTAACAAACGGTCACTTGGAACAAAGGAAAATAACGATTTTGAATGGAGATTACCTATTAATGAAGATTTCTCGATGTCTTCTCGCGTGGCATCAATTATTTCTGGTAACTTAGATATTGGCACGCATACATCTGTTGGCATACCCTACACAATTGTAAAGATAGACCATTGTTATAACCTGTTGTAGTTATAGGTAGCGGATACAACTATCATAGTTATGGTCAATGTGTGAGTAACATCATAGCCTGACATACAAACAATTTATATGACTATGGTAGATGTGAGAGACCAGATTGTACAATAAATTGTAATGATTGATCGAGAGAAATGACATCATAACATCACGTGATTTGCTTTCAATAGAATGAAATATGGCAATCCATTGACATATGAGCGTGGTCGAGATAGTGACATGGCGGAATTTTATTTAAATTTAAATGTTTAATACATCCAGGATACAGTTGTTATACAAATAAAAAAACTGATGTCTATGTGGAAATACGCAAGACATGTATTCTTTTTTCAACAAGGCGTGTTTTCCGTACCTTAGAACCGGGTCTCAACGCAAGAGATGCAAACCATGCATCGTGTCGTGCGGCCCATAATTTGTTCCTTGACTCTATATCCTTTGCCCATTTAAAATCTGACCCACCATTATCATACACAAGTTCACCTAAAAATAAAATAAAATTAAATTAAACACACATGCATGTACTATAGAGGTGAGACATATGAGTTTTAATTGATTGTACATGGTACCAGGAAACCGATAAATGAATTATTGGGCCACCATTCCCCGTAAAAATCACATGAAAAGGAGACAGTACTGTTAATATAAATAATTGTTATGTGTTATGCAAATGTGAATAATGTTAGTATGTCGTAATTCAATTTAACACGGAATGGTTTAATGTCAGTTAATTATTATGAATATCATATCTTTCTAATGTTTCATAGCATCGAAATTAGGAGGACAACATTAAAAACAATTCAGCAAAACTGCACACATGTGGGCAACCATATTGAATAGCATTGGTAAATATTTTTTTTTCTAAGGTTTCTCTGTTTGAGGGCGTGATTACCTGGGTCAAAGGTGAGACTAACATGTGGTCTTTTCTTTACTACTTAGCGGCTATGTACCTGTGGGTTTATTCTGTGTGTATTTGTAATTTCTAATCTTGGTGTTTTTTTCAGTGATTTGACTAGGTGCAATCCAAATACAGTAGGTGTGACTTGTTTACCTGAGATTTGCAAGAGTTTGAGCAGGCCAACATGTACGTTTTTTTTCATGTGGTTGATTACTGGCATGTTGATTTCCCATTTTTGAGCCATGTTTTCAACTTTTTTTATTATTTTCATATCTCCTCATATGTTAACATTGTCGTCTACGGAGTGTCAATTAGTGGTCTGAACCCTATACGTATATAGTGCGACACACAGTAGTAATGGTGGAAATATGGAACAATTCCCCTTACCCACATCCATGGCTTGTTCTTCGATCATTCTTTCGGTACCATGAAATTCCAAAAATAATGTTGGTGCTACGTTATAATTAAGTTCAGAGTATTTATTGCAAGCTTCCATCGTGAGACTGTCCATAAATTCTGCAACAAAAAACAAGAATGCCAAAATAAAACAGTACAGTTTCTATAATAAAATAAAACAAAATAATTATTAACAAATTATTATTGATATTTTACCTATTCTTGCAATTGGTATCCCACACTGCATCACCTGTGTAACAGTCTCCACAGCAGCATGGACAGATTTAAACGAACACACAGCGGAAACCATCTGTCATTAAAACGAGTATATATACTACACGTTAGGTGGATTTCCAGCCCACGTGCTTGAAGCATTACCGTCGATTAAATATACAAATGATATATGAACAGCTCATGTTGAATTCTATATTTCTATATTCTCACTTTTTAATGCCACGTCAGGACAATATCAAACTGACTTTCAATGGCATAGATAATTGTGGATAATTTAATTTCACTTAATCTATTTAGGTAACTACCAGTATGAAATGATTGGTGGGTAGCCTCAATTATTATATCACATAATTAAAATATCTTATATTAAGTGAAGTGAATGTTTCGCAGTTTTCTCTATACTAGCATTGATAACGTATTAAGACGTTTGTGGTTACGTGTGATACATTTCACGTGAATGACGTGCATACATTCCGAGCGCAAATATAACAGAATTACAAAAACTGAGTTGATGTACTATAGTAGCAAGTAGCGTTAAAAGTCCCTCACTTCCTAGCTTTCATAACACTTCGTATAACACTTACGACACGACATTAAAAAACAAAACATATTGCAGTTGTTGATCTTTGGAAGTCATGTTTATCATGCTGTATAAAATGTCATTAATATCCTCGGGGGCGGAGCTACGTCACAAGACGTTCCACGTTGCTACGACGCGCACCACTGTACATGCATTTCTATGGGCTCTGTGCGCGCTGCTGTGGAACGCCGGTCGAGCCGGTGAAAATTCGAGAAAACAACACAAACTCAACTTTGAAGTAATCCTGAACAGCCAAATTTATATATGTTACACACGTAGGGCTAATCTTGTTACACTGTTCAGAGGAGTCTCAACAATCATCCCAAAGTACCGTTTTCAGCGAGTTTTTGGCCTTTGTTTTCACTGCCGCGGGTTGCCAGGCGGTGAAAATGCCCGGATGCCCGCCCCCGAGGATATATTGATATACTCACAGCTTCTGGTATTCCGTGGAGTCTGATTGTTGCCATGGTAATGATACCAAGAGTTCCTTCTGAGCCAACAAATAAATTTGTTAAATTATATCCAGCTGATGTTTTTCTGGAGGAAATGTGAAATGAAATCCTCATTAAGAATGACAACTTGGGACACATAGGAAACAGTTCATCCGTCTAAGTAAAAAATATGATTAATTCAATATAGAACAGATAGTCGGTAGTATGTTCATATTCCGTATGTTTTACGTGTGAAATCAAACTTTATAACATCCAATATTACCTATACACAACACGCAACAATTGAAAGAGACAATTGATTGTCAAATTTTTACAGTCCAAAATGTTGAAGGAATGGCACGGTTCAAAATCGTGCTGGGGAAATAAACAACAATGACTGATATTACCTCCCCAACATGAATCTTTACCTTTTCATTTGTTACAGTGACAATATAATACGATTGTCACGTGATATTGTCCATATTAGGGCATGTTCTGCAATATGGTCTTGTTAAACGTACGTTGTAACAGTAATCTAATTAATAACACACATTCTTGTTTTATTTTATTATATTTTGAGGCAATTAAACTAAATTGTCGACAGATTGATGTCATGTACATTAGCTTAAAATGTTGGTGGGCTAGTTGAATCTCATATTTGCTCTGCGAATGGCAGAGGAGAGCTAGTAAGAACTATAAACGATTTTCGGTGAGTTATTATAATAAGTTCATCGTGCAACATTTGACAAATGGAAATATAAAATACTGAGTCGCATTGTTTCATGTAACACAAATTATTAAACTGTATACATTGAGTCAAGTCTTTTCACCTCGTCCTTTTTCCTTCTCCGGCTGTGTTGATTATCGTGCCATCTGCCAACACAACTTGTAAGTTCATGACATTTTCTCTCATGGTACCATAGCGTACAGCATTAGTCCCGGATGCACTGGTAGCACACATTCCACATATACTAGCATCAGCACCGGGATCTACGGGGAAAAACAATGAAACATTCATGGCTACTGATGTGAGATGTTCTTAAACGCGATTCCCTGACGCGTTGGGCAGTTAAATATGAAACGAGATGTAATGATTACGGAAGGAAAGTGAGTTTGCTTCCAATGAGTGCAAATATGGCTGCAGAGCAGTGAATGTGATAACACCGCAAGATACATATTAAAGCGGGGGAGTCGTCACCTGCGCATGCATCAGATGGCCATAGCGGTTCATTGTTTACAAACAAGCGTCTACCCATAAGCCTTTGTGTTTTAGCGTGTGTTGTTATCGTCACATGGGACTCAATTCCAGCGCGTGCGCAGGTGACGACCCTACCGCTTTAATATATCAGTGGACGAATCCGTCAGTGAAATAAAAAACAATGAAGTGATGTGTACTAGTCTGCTTAGAGAGCGGCTACATTGTTGCACTCATGGGCGTTTCAATGCATTTCTGCCTTTTGTGTAGATTGACGTCTGACGTCTGGTCATTTTAATTATTTGCATATCTGTCACTGAATATTTTACATATTTGATAATGAACAGTGTCTGGCAGTTCTCTTCTGAATTCTTAACATATATCCTCAATGATTCCTGGGTAATTTGAGATTAGGAAGAATGAAGCGAAGAATATTTAAATAATAAAAACGCAGTATTTGTGTTTGTCCCATGAACCGTCACCTCTTTTTTAATGCGACACGGTCGTTCGATATGGGCTCTATTCGATCTATACAATGTTCATTTACACAAACATCGCAGCGCGACGAATGATCAGAAGTATTAAGAATTCGATTCCTCTTTACCTATAGGGAACCATAATCCTTGATCTCGAAGGTACTTATTTAGCATCTTTCGGGTAACACCGGGTTGGACTGTGACATCAAAATCGTCTCTGTTCAATTCAATAATTGCATCCATCTTGGTGACATTAATGCAGACGCTGCCCTGAATTCAACATGAATCAGGCAATGGAAAATTGTTAGTTAAACTTTCAATAAATCAATCGAATAAATATATATACAGATGTTTTTTTTCGTACCTTAAAAGTCATTCCAGGATTTGGTAAACAGGGAATATTTTACATTATAGAAATATGTTTCTAATGCATTTACGATTTTAATTTTAAATATAAAATTTAAATGCATTTTTACACTACAAAAACTTATTTCAAATACATCTTTAAGCGAGGTAAAAGATAAAAAATACATTTATTAAGATGACCGCTATCAAGTTAGTACACTGTGAAAATTAACAACAGCACAATAGAATATGTGCTATGTATATGATAAGATAATGTAAATAACACTTCTCTTACTTCGATTCCATTAACAGCGCCCTCTAAACCAGTGCCAGTACCGAATGGCACCATGGGAATATCATTTTCATAACATATCTTCATGACTTCACTCACTTCAGTTGTACTTCCAGGCCAGACAACAACATCAGGCAGAATACATCTGGAAATGATGATGCAAATATGAAAAAATAACGATTCAATGTAAATTACATTGAACTTTGGCGTTAGTTGATTATGATGGGTGCTGCAGCAACGCGGGTGGAATGAGCTTATTCCTATCGAAATACTCGATATCGTCCCTTGTCTTTCCAGGAGGTATCTCTCCCTGAATTGACAGTGTTATACTGTCTTCTGTTTGTTTTTTCGGAATTGTCAATTTGTTTGTCGGTATTTGATTACTTACGTTGAGTACTGACATTCAATTGTATAATTGATTGAATTTTGTTCAGTTTCTCAGCACAACATTTTTGAAATACTAAATCTTTTGTAACCCAACTTTTATGCATATATTCTAGTAACTTACAGGAAATTAATGTTCACTAGCATTTACATAGCTTTTTGTATAATGCTAAATTGTCGTTGTCCTTGACGCTGTAGAAGCATTTGCACATTTGGGCGGATCGTCGGTTATGACCGACAGGCGCTTGTAATATGTTTCCCAAAATCGCGTGCCTGCAATTACTCGGTGTATATACCGGGTCCGAATACGTGACTGGACGATGATGTATCTCTTGAACATAGTACTCACGTATGATATGATTCATCTTTACCATGGTGTTCTCTGACTGATAATGATGTAGATACGTTGGAACTTCCCAATAATGAACGAAATGACTTTATAACCTCGCTTGGTACGTTTGACGTGTCCTAGAATAAGATAACATACATTGCAATGTATTCTGAAACTGAAATTATCCATTGTTTCGATATTTACATTAATTCACTAGACAAATAAATAAAAACGACATACTGCATCCATGATGATATTACATGTTGTCTTTCTGATTATGTGTTCTCCATTGAAGGTAATTATTTTGCTGCATTTGCCTTTTTGCAGGTTCGCTATTTTCCATGTAAAATAATATAAGACTGATTAATATGACAACGATCAAAAAAAACGCACTAGCAAAATTAAATATTACCAGTTTTCCTAGGTAGGTATAAATAGCGCAATCAGGCAACACATATTTTTCGCGGATTGCTCATTATTCGAGATGTGCGACTAGACAGAATCACTATTAAACTGCTTGTCAGCCTGATTTAAATAAGCCACCCACGACTTTATATTTGAATGGGGGAAACGGATAAAGTAAATAATCTACATAAAGACGATTTATAATTATTTGCCCATTTAAGCTTTCCAGTGCGGACTTTTACGAGCTGTTAAAATTGCTAGTGAGAGTTTTATGAATTTCAGATTTCTGGAGTCAATATGAAGCTATAACGAGACTTACCTGTTTTGATACTCAAACCGAATACCTAACTGTCCAACCAACCAGAGCTTGTTTGTCAACTGTTCGACCGCTCAAATCATATGTTTATGTTTTTTTTTCTTCAAATTGATTTTGTTTCTAGTGGACCACCGACAATTAATTCTGGTACAATTAATGATATGATATTCACCGCAACAAGATAAACCTCGCATCCCATCATACCATGAACTCACTTTTATTTTCATTACAACGTATTGCTATAGATACCATGATTGTATTTACCGATTGTATTAAATATAATACCAGAAAAACAAAGCTTTACAAAGTTACCGTCACCAGTAGGAGTGTTTCTGTTTCATTGTACATTTAAGCCTTCAGCCGCTACGGGTTATTAGAGATTTTAAAAACTGGAGAAGTCACCTCTATAAGCTTTTTATAAATTAGAGGCACATCACGTAAAGGATGTATGTGTACATGACCTTAGGTGCGTCCAAAGTTTACCAGATACTTTAGGGACGACGTCAAAAGATCGATGTCGGATAAAAAAATTATTTCCTTTAGTTTGGGGGTGGGGGGTTTTGACCTCAAAAAGTTTCCATCCAACAAAAACGATTTTACTTTTTAATGAAGTCAAAAAAATCTTGGAGTATTTGTAGTTTTTTTTCTTCTATCCAATCATGGACAGAAATAACCGAAAAGGGAAAAAAAACAGAAAAATGATTTGGTTTGAGTGTCAATCTGTGCGTCAAATGAGGTGCATTTGTAAAATCTTTTTACACCCACCCGACAACCAACTGCTATGCAATACTACTGTCCGATTATCAATTTGTATTTAATGGTGAATGTAGTCTGACGCCATGACCGATATTTATCAATTAAGTTTCAGTGGGGGGTAGGCGGGTTTGGAAAAAAACTAAAGGAATTAAGTTTTTTATCCGACATCGATCTTTTGACGTCGTCCCTTATAAAACAAGAATTTGTAAAGTATTTATTGCCGTTGTTGTTGTTCAGCGGCATAGATTAATACGTGTGGTTGCTTCGAGCTCTACACAGTAAATGATCGGTTGTCTTTTAGTTTCGTGGTACATCTTGCTCTCACTCATCTTATTCGTCGATATTTTTCGATATAAATTATATAATAAAATAAACATAAGCATATATATAATATAATATAAAACAAATATATATATATTATAATAACAATTGTCGATTATGGGCGCGATATCGCAATGTGGTATTTCGCCTGGCCTATGAGCGTGAGCCACCCTTGACAAGTAGGTTCAGTCATGTTCAGGTCTGAATGGTATAACAGCTTTGATTTCAGTCGTCATGACAGGCTTAATTAAACTCATATAGAGGCAATCGACTACCGACGACGCGATGGAGCCCAGGATGAAGCAAGCCCGTCGATGACCCCGGAATCGATGAAGCGCGAAAGAACCCCAGTGTTTTTAGTACGAGTCTGTGGGCTGTACAGCCTCAGAAAAGGTCAAGGTTAACTCTAATAACACTATACCGGAAGTGAGGTGATAAAAGAATAGCAGCTATAAGTGCCGATAGCGTAGATAAATGTGTGTATGTGTTTCGTTCCAATGATATAACGTACTATTCACTCACCACATGTAATCGACTATATGGAACACTGAAGCTAGACTTAGACAGCGGTGAAATCAACGACCGTGAAGACTTCAGAAAATGAAGACCTACTCTGAAAGGATAATTCATGGCAGCAACTGTTTGGCGTAAAACCGGGCCACATACCCAAACCATAAAGTCATCACGCTTCCAGCTATTTATAATCAATGACCTCTATCAATTAGTGTCAACATTTACGATACTATCAACATGAGGGCGCATTGCAACAACAATATATTCTAGTACACTTCCGTGTGGGTTGCAAATATACTTACTTTTTCCTATTTTCGCTACTCTTGGAGGGGTCGACCATTTGTAATTATGAGGAGGTGGCTAACAGATTTGTTCAAAAAATGCAAGCTAAAAAGTAAAAAATGCGTGCAAAGTTTTTCAGGAACAAACTGGTCCGTGGCTAATGTTTTCTGGAATCTAACATTTTGGTTTTTGACGTAATTTCAATACTAGTAGATGAATTAGCGGTAAGTGGTTATAATCTAAATCCAAATTTCAATTTCATTGAATCGCGAGCCCAACAACGCGCAAACTACAATGTTACCAGTCAATTCTGTTTTTGACACCCACTTTTCAATATTCATATATTATGCTCGTTTCGTATATGACGTCATATTCGAGAGCTGAAACCACGCTAACTGATTCGTGGCCTTGCTTGAAATAAAGATCGCGAATATATCAGTGTTCTTGTCAAACAGGGGGCTTCTCACGGCGAGATCAACTGTCGGTTGGCCGCTCAATATCCGAGCATAGTGGAATTTCTCAAAGAAGCGTGGGACGATTCTGTAATCATCGCTATATACACCCTCTAAAAATTTTGAAGTGGATTGCACTGTAAATGAGGTTGTCTGTGAACAGTTTTATGGCACTAAAACATTGCACGATCCAACGCCAACTCCAAAATAATATCACTCAACACTTGTAAGCACTGATTTGTGCGATTTCGAAAAGGGGATAATAATGACAGCGAACAAAGTTTCAAAAAAATGGTGAGACTGGAATATATAGCCACGTGACGACCAAACGGTTACATGGTTCTGTATTCGTTACTTTTGATGTCCCTCGGGAAAAAAATGTGAATTGGGCGTCGCCTCCCGAACAATCAAGCTGAAATCTTTGAATTAGCAAAATTTTCTCCTCAAAATGCAGGAAATAGCGTTTCAGAGGGTCTAGATTTCAAAATGTTTCCGAGGAAGCATGCCCCGGACCCCTTAGTGAATTTCGCGTCGCCGCCTCTGATGAGAACTTAACTGACTGGAAACATTGTTGATTTCACTTGCCTTCGACCTATCATTGCCATTGCTGGGTTCTGGCGACCGACTCGATATGCAAATGACCATTAATATATACCCTAGTCCGTCGATAAAATGATCAGTCTAAAATTGAAAATAGGATTTTGATTTTTGTAGTTCATTTCAAAATCCTATTGTTGAAAATTAAATGTCGCCGCCACAGGCATAACTTCGAAAATCACAGCTAAACTTTAAATTGCGATTGCTTACCGTTAATTCATCAATAGAAATTACGCCAAAAACCAAAATGTTAGATTCAAGAAAATATTAGAAACTCACTTGGCCGTCATTAGCCACGGACCAGGATTATGTAGTCTATCTGATTATTTGTGCCCAAGTGTAGCTATGATGGAAATTTAATTGTAAGTACTAGTACTACGGGTGTATACATGCACATATATGCTTCATACAATTCTGGCCTGTGTTTCATTGTACAGGTTTATTCATGATTAGATTGGTCGCTGGTTCTAAACAAACCTCTATGTGTTCTTCTCTATATCCGATTGTTTATTTCCTATATCCAAATAATTTGAGCTAGTGAACTTTGCCCGATATATTTATACATAAGTAACGATTGACCGTAGACGTAAATTGCCTTGAGATCTCGTTGAGATCGAGAGAACGATGTGTACCTTTTGTACATCAAACAGTGTCCCATTCCCTTCCGTCCATTACGTTAGATGGTTCCCTGCTTTATGTAACTATCACATTTGCGACTTTGGTCTGTTTGTGTTAATTAACAGAATCTGAAAAAAAAAGAACTAAATATTTTCGAACATATATTGCAAAACAATAATTGTCCAATTCTAGATTACTGATCTCTGTCTCCATCAAATATGAGTCCGACTGTCTAATACACGTCACCGAGTTGCATCCTTCCACTTCGCCAAGTTGCAAGTTTGACCACATTTACATTTGACGCATGTGATTGCATTTCCAGTAGGAAGTGGCTGATTAGCGTGTAACTTATAGCTGGGTCGAAATGAATATTGACCATTGTACGTTTAGCCCAGGGAGGAACCAATGCTCCGATGGTGACATAACGGTCGTTGTAGTCGGTCACCTGCAATGGGTCCGTATTCCAATGCTTCATGCAGCTACGAATCTAGGGAAAAATGTATAGGTATTGCATTACATACATATTGATATTACAATTAAATGTCAAACAAACTAGGACTACGTTTGCAATTTTTGATTTTGGTAGTATTGTAATTTCCAAACTGCTCAATTTATCGATTTCTTTTGATAGTACAGTCATATATAATAATAAACGCAAATTTGAAAGAAACAAGACAGGTCGTTATGACGAAAGTTATGACATGGGCGATGCATGGTTCGCCCCTTTTTATATAAACGCAGTTGTATATAGCAGTAATTATATTACAATTTCTGTAAAACGCGTATTAATGTTTTTTTTTTAATTTAAGAATTGATGATAAAAACATTAAAGTTAAACAGTATTTAAATATGCTCATCATTGCCTCTTTAATTTATCCGCGAATGCGCGGGGATGGATGAATTACAAACAGTGTTATAATGTTTGTAACAACTTTGGAGGCATATCTTAATTTTTGAAATACTTAATAAATAAATCGGTTTAATCTTTACCTCACAACAGCAGAAACAATAGAAGCAAAAACAACATAACTTAGCACACTTGCTACAGGTATCCTTCGTTCCAATGATTCTTGTAGTTACTTTGGATCCAATAGATGAATGGAAGTCTACACTTAGAAACCCTTCAATGGGCAGGGTTTTCAAATGCAGATTGTCACCACAAAACGTCTCAACCGAATATTTGTTGGAATACGACCTTGTTGATTTTGCTTTTTGCAATTTATAAAGACTCAAATCTGTCAAAGAAGAACTTTGTGATAATTATGCCAATTTTCTACAAAAATGCTTAATGTTGCCACACTCAAACTTATAAAAGCTGCAATTGAAATCAGTTTGCAAAGTGTAACTGTAACAAGCTAATGTTACAGTAGTAAATAAGGCGAATCGGACAGTCGTAAACAAGATAAATCATCACAGAAATTGAAAGAATTGAGAGATATCGCCGCCATGGTTATTGAATTGAAATTATTGAATTACCTGCCGTTTCCCCTGCTGAAAGTAGCAGTAAACGTTGATTTGTGAGTAATGCTTTCCCTTTGCGCATAGTTGGACAGTCTGTGTCCGCTTCACCGCTCTCATCAAGAAACTCCACTGAAGTGTAGGGAATGAACTGTCCGTCCAACAGTGCCTGTTCACCTGTCATAACTAAATCTGTTGATTTAATTCAGGTGATATATCAGATTACAATATGTACTTCTTCTGAAATTTGTATTTGTAAAATATTTGTGCAGGTGATCGTGTGTCCATGCGATGTTGGAATGAGTACAATTGCCTACACGTATGGACGAAGATACAAACTATGTGCTTAGATTTTTACGAAATATGCAATAACACTCACTATCTAGCATGGCATCGTAGCAGACATTTTCATGATGCGATCCATAACGTTGATACGCTATGTCGTACATTTTTCTGCCATTCTCAATCAGACACTCTTCCAGCATGTCGTGGCTTTTATGTTCTTTCAACACCTTTTCCATGAGTGCTTTCGAAGTCAAATCGATCATATTTTCGTCGAATTCTGGCGGCAGAGTACCTTTTCCTGGTCGAGGTTGAGAAGATACTGCATCGTGCCCGATCTGTATACATTGTGAGCATTTTATTGTCAGGATTTGAAAGTGTATATATTACACCATATCGCACATTTTGGGCTGGTGACATATGATGAAATATTATATATATATATCTCGTGCCCGATTACCGGGATACGTTTTGTTATCCTGCATTGCTTAACAAAAGTAGAGTTTAAAAAGTGGACGAATTCAATACAAATCTAATTTAGGTTTCCTAATAACACAGTTAGTAACCTTGATTTAATCAGCAACACGAACAACCTAACGATAAACAGACAATTTAAATGAAAGTTTGAAATCGGGAAATTCTAAATATTAAGCCAGGAGAAACAATGCCACTATATGCAGTGGAAATAACACCATACCCTATCAAAATCTAGACGTTTTGCGACGTTCATGACCTCACGCTAGCACGTATCAACCATGATAGATGAAAAGATGGACGAATTGTCGTGAACGACTAATAAATATTTCCCTTCTATTACACTGTGTGGACGATAAAACCCACTGCAGACGGAGTCACAACTGGATTCGCCAGCGTAATTCACTATAGTGTACGTTTTTAAAAACATCCTCTCCCCAAAATTTTAATTTACCTGTGGCAATCTAAACTCGGCGGTAGTCATTGGTGGAATCATTCTACCCATTGTAAACGCTTCAGTGACGTCATCCTGATTGTTGTAACGAGACTCTGGTGTTTCCGTCTGGTGTGCTAATACATTAGGTTGAGGTATATGAAAGCCCTACAAAAATAATAAAATATTAATGTTTTGGGGAATCTATACATCGCCACAGTTGGCATATATCGCCACAGTCGTCGTCACCCCACGGTCCTGTCACATTGCCACAGTCGTCACGCATCGCCAGCAGTTGCCTAGCGTCGATTCAGTCGTCACTCAGCGCTGCAATTATCACCCAAAGCGCCTTAGAATTACGTGTAAAACAAACAATATATATATATACATATGCACATTGAACAAGACGCTCACAAAGTTTAGTATTTAACCACTTTTACCGCATAGCAATACAGCTGATGCTGGGTATTGACGATGCGTTGCACAAATAAAAAACAACAACAACAAAACAACAACAACACGGTTTGTGATTTTGTACGTGCAGGGCAAGTGAGATCGAAATTTTAGAGGTCGTAGTTGCATAATAGGGTTCACGACATTTTACTCTTCTTTCCGTGTCTTCTCGTCGACCCTAGCCGTTCTATCTGTGGGCCGTTTATATTCTTTTACGCTCTGCATGAGTAAAGATGAATAGAGTTAACATTACGAAGTGTTTCAGCATGTCTGTAATTGTATAGTTCTTTACGCCCTGGTAGCGTTTATAAAATTAAATAAAAACAACAAGCGTTATATATAATACATAATGTAATTGCTTTGATAGACTAACAGTGTTGAAGTTGAAAGAACGACGTACACTGTTTGCAGAGACATTACTAATCTTAACGACAGAAGTCACTCGTTTGAAACGGTCACCTGTATGGGCCCATTTATTCAGGAAATAGGTCTATAACTACGTTGATGAGGTCTTGGCTGGATTTTGGAACGATGCGTGACTTGAAGTGTTTGAGGAACATTGTGTACGTACTGGCGACTAAAAGGAAGCTATTATTTCTAGGTATCTTGCTCAGCAATGGGGAAACTCAATATTGCCTTAGTATAACATAGCATAAATTGATATATACGTAGAAAAACAATTTCTTGAAACAACTTAGTTGTGACATGCACTTTATCACAGCCTATTGTAACAAACGAAGACAAAGTAAAGACACATTTCCTATTGTCGATATGTTGCAACAAGTAGTAGTTTTCATGCAAACGACAACATACGATTGGTCAATACATACCTGGTTATCTTGTCCAACATTCTTTTTCGGAACAGGAGGTCCTTTCCTGCCGGCTATATGATGGTAATATCCCGACGCCCTAGTGTAATCCATGGTGTTCTCCAGACCCTTTTATTGGGTGTCACGGGTTTCCGCCTTGTACAAATTCTAAATCACGTAATGGTTTGCTGGAGGCAACTCAATATCACATTCCCTTCCAATAAATATCGCCCTCTGCCGACGAAAAGCTTCTATTATTTCAGCGGGACATATTTATGTTATAGAGATGCTTCGTCACTTGAGGGCGAAGTCACGTTGAGCGTTGTAGGCTGCCATGCAAGGAAATGTTCACCTCTGTTTTGAATAACGTTAATGTTTTTGCAAGGGAAATGAGGTCGTTATACTAACGCATATACCATACCTGAACCGAATTACGATGTATGACCACGGCAAACGCCCAACAAGAATTGGCCAATTCAGGATAGCCGCAGTTTAATGGAATTTTCAGTGCAGTGTCTTGTTTCTGGTACACATGATTTGGAAAATGATATGTCATATGCCATAATTTGTGTACTTATATATCGTATTCCAACTATTTACGGTTCGTTACAACACAGTAGAATGTTGAACCTGTTACAATTACAAAAGGCCTCATGTAGGTTGTCATGACAACATATAATCAATTCGGTTATTTTATCACCGTGACCGCAGTGTCTGTGATATTACTAAATATTTATTCCTGTTGAAAGTGAAAACGTTAATGGCCACTCAGTATTTTTTTTTCATATTTTTATTGTTATTTCTAGATTGAAAACGTTCACACCTGGACAGTATTACTGCCCTCTCGAGGCAAAGATGTGTATATGGTCACTTGAGAGCAGAATATCCAAATAAATCCACCAGTACTTTTTTTTATTATTTCTTTTCCAAATTTGTTATGATCATTAATATATCCATTGGACGCCATAATATTTTTTTAGAATTCAAGGTAAGAATGGGTCATTGAAACGTAATAGTAATGGCGACGACAAATCGGGAAGAAAACAATACAAATAGTTCTGATCCATTTTTGTACTTACAGCGCTCAAGTGGCTGAGGATTTGTAATTATTTCCTATATAGTGTCTAATTTATCTCACTTTTCAGCTTTGCTGTTATATATAACTATTCTCCCCGACTTAAGTTGGCAGACCAGTAGAAAGAGGTTACTGGACCTGGAACTGTTCCTTTAACTTGAATTACGCCACTATCATAACAGCGGAATCTTCTAAATACATTTGTATATCTGCTGTTTAAGCCGAGCGGCCACGTTAAAGTTGACCGGATTGGTAAGCTAGTTATGAAGACGGTTGGTTTATGGAGACTGTTGTTGTTGTTTGTTGCATTCATATACACACTAATTACATTCATACCCTCGATGTTCCTATTTGCACAATACCCGTAACGTGCAAAAATAATGAAGCGTTCATAGACTAGCCAGTGCGTAGTTAGTATAAGTAAATGTATTCTGTAGTTAATTCAATGTACAACATTTTATACAATTCATATGTAGCTGCGAGTATTTGTGTAATCCTATCAAGCGACCGACTAAATAGTTCAACAATTATATACATTACGTGAAAATGAAACGCAGTACTGAAGGTACATAAGATGTACACGTGTAAATCAAATTATAGAAGTTTCAGCAAGCTAGGGACAAACTTTGTTCACGTTATTCTTATTTAGCACGAGAAACAAGAATGTAAACAGCAGCGTGTAACGTACTAATATATAGTATACCCGAATTTCAATCTTACCAAGTTTTGTTGTGATACGCAATATTGTATTTAGAAAGATCCCTCATTTATAAAGTCAATGCCAATATAAAGTAATGTTGTATTCAAAAACAATTGTTACAATTCAAAATATGTGTTTTTGCAAACACGACTAATACAGCCAAATGTTGTCTCTAAATACAACTGCTTTACCACTGAGTTTCTGTAATCAAACATGGTAAGTATACTGTGGACGAAAACAATTTATAATTGTCATTCATGTTTGTCTTATAAAAATGTTCCCATAAAATATGAAATGTTCCCCCAACATTCATCACGGATTCTAATAAAGATGGCCAAAACACCGCAGTTGCTTTACAAGTCCACACGTCTAGGAGATAGTGACCTTCGTAATATCAAGCCATCAGATTTCCCATGATTCTCTATGACCACGTGACACATTTTATCATGTTATATTAGCTTATAATTGTTAATATAATGCTCCGTTCGAAAAAAATCGATGAAATCGTTGATGTAAAACAAACAAAGTTAGTGGGTTAAGATTACATTTGATTTCCTAGAATTACGTTAAGGGTGTCGAGCATTGGCATTCCAACTCGCCAGTTTTACCACGTTTAGATTTGGTGCATATAGTTGCATTTCCGACAGAAATTGGGTAATGAATGAGAAACGCATCGTGGAATCGAAGTTGATCTTGATCATGGTACGCTTTGCCCAGGGTGGGATCAGAGCTCCGATCATAACGTATCGATTGTTATGAACGTTCACTTCGAAAGGTTCGGCGTCCCATTTCTTCATGCAACTACGAATCTGTTAGGAAGTTAGGAAATAAACACTGAATTAAGACGTACTAATTGTATTAATAGTCACAAAAACTATTATAGTTTACTGGTCCGGGCAGCAAATGTCATAGGTCATCCGTCAAAAGATTATTTGTGATTAAAGAAAATACTATATGGATAGTCGTACATGTTGAAAGCGTAAGGTCATGTTTGATTTAAAAGCGGTGGCCATATAGTGTACAGTATTGTATACTAGTATTGGAAATACTGTATCCGATTGTCTCCCTGGATGCAAACAGTTTTAACATGCCCAGATGTGTGACCTTTGGGGTCATAATGCAGATGTTCTATCGACTACTTACTTCACAGCAGCAGAAACAGTAGAAACAGAAACAGCATATCTTCGCCCATCTCGCACAGCAGCCTTTACTTCCGATTATCTCGGTTTTCGTGTTAGCACCACTGGACGCCTGTAGCTCTACGCTGAGAAATCCCTCGATGGGAAAAGTTGCGTACTGAAGATCATCACTGCATGACGTCTCCAGAGAATATCTGTTATGGTGTGATTTACTTTTCTGATTCGTATTATTTGGTGGCACTTTCTGTGAATTTTTCTCCACTTTGGAAAAGGAAACCTCTGTCGAGAAACATGCAAATAGTCAGAGTAACTCTCTTTTAAATAAGACTGTCTTGACAGACGCAATGTATCATGTTTAATTCACTCATATCCCGGGGTAATTTCCGCAATTAATAAGGTAGTGTAGTACTACATACCTGCAGTATCCTCGTTCGAGAGGAGCAACAACCGGTGCGTAGTTAGATAGGCTCTCCCCTTACACATCGGAACTCTTGTTGGCACTGCCTTGCCGTTTTCATCCAGAAACTCGACGGATGTATAATAAATATATTGGCCATTTACTAACAGTGTCTCGTCTTTCATTAATAGATCTTGATATAAGTGTAAAGCAAACAATAGGTATTAGTTGCGTTCGCACAAGCTCCTCAGTACGGGGTAAGAGGTCTAACATGAAAATCAAAGGGCGGCAGTCGTCACGCCGCGTCCTGTTCGATAGGGGACTCATAGCGACGTATACAACGCGTGTAAAATACATTGTTTATTTACATGAAATTCGAACACGCGCTGCGCGACGACCACCGCGCTTTAACGTGAGCATATCCACATACACTTTTCTGGTGAAAAAATGGGCCGATGATGAGATTCTATTACCAGTTATTTTGTAATCCACACTCTCCGAATATACATTGTTATAGTTTTATAACCATAACAATAACGTATAAAGCATCCTAGTTACTGTACCAAGTAATCCTAGTTAAAACTTGAGGACTGACGATTTTTGTATATTCTTAACAACATTGGGTGTTCTTTAGCTCGTGTTAAATGTGGCAATTGGGTATAGCCGATATGCAAACATATATTATTTGCTTAAATCTTAGTCCGTACTTGGCGTAAGTTTGAACACGACTATTACTAGTGACAAGAGGTCGATTATCTATGCATAGGATTACGCCTAGTTAAATTGTTACACGTGACGCTGCTGAACCTTGCAGTCACAGCGCCCTCACCGAATATTAGACACGAGCGACGAGGGCGCATGTAAGTCGATTTGCTTCTTTGAACAACTTGAATTAAAGATAATATGCACACAATAACTCCTTAAATATTTTGAATAGGTATTTTGATCTGTAAAAATATGAAACCTGACGTGGTTTCTACATCAGTATTCCATGTATTCTTGAAATAACTATGGCGTTAAGAGAAGGACAAATAAAGAGGAACTCACGATCCATTATTGCTTCATGGCTCAGGTGGTCGTGCTGAGATTTGTAGTCATGATAAGACAATGCGTAAGCTTCCCGGGCTGTTTGTTGAACACGTTCGTTTAACACTGATCTACTTTTGTGTCGCTTCATAATCTGTTTCAAGACCGCCTGTGAAACGGGGCTGATGACACCTTCGTTGAATTCAGGTGATATTGCATCCCGGGATGATTTAGGTTGCGTTGCTATGGTAGCACTTGTGAGCTGCAAAGTACGAACATATGAATTCAATCGGCAAATTTTCGAAGCGTGTTAGATGTAAGTATCTAAATATATCTCGGAATGTACAATTTGTTTTCCTCGTGACTCTTTGGCGCTATAATTAATGAATGATTTAATTATTCAATAACCTAAATAATGAAATTTTAGAATGATTCATTCATTAGTAAGAATTTATTGAACTAGTCGACTAAAGGTCTTTTTGGTTGCTTAATTGATTGAATAGAATCGATATGCAGCACGGCAATATCACGGATAGACGACACCTTGCATCAATGAACACATTGTAAATACCTCTAGCTGATTTGACACTGGTGCTGTCGTTTTCTGTTTTGCTTTTAACTTTGGATTGCCACGCACACCATCGCCAAGTTCATCATTCAGCTTTGCCGCTACAATGCCAAATTCTCCTTGGTGACCGGCACCACCTCTGTCCTGTCCACACGTTGATGCTCTAGCAAAAGGTATTTGAAATCCCTGGGAAAATGACAATCATATCAGTGTTAGAACATCCAATTTTACATAAAAACGCTCAGTATAGAACAGAGTGGGCGATGGAATACAAAGTAATAACCTTGGGACATCATACATACGAAAACAGTAACACGCCACTAAAACCTATTATCTCTAGGTTGTGGCATTTCTTCTTCAACAAAAAAACTCTTGCAGCTCTCTGCAAACCCGCGAAAAAGCAAAACAGTGATTATTACATATGTTTTTATAATCGTCAGCTGTATAACAATAACAACAACAACAACAACAACAACAACAACAACAACAACAACAACAACAACACGCGTTTAGTTCACAACATGGCAGTGCATTAGACATCGTGCTCGATGAACATTTAAGTTTAAAGAGCTGTATTCAGAAAGTGAGTTGGTATCTAATTATATGTAAAAAAAAAAGTATCAATACAAATATATAATTCGAGTTTATCTGTCAAAGTAAGCGGCGTCATATATATTGTTTGTTCTCACCTGGAACCAGAGTCCCCGGGACGAAAGGACCAGACGGAAGAACCTAAACGGGTGTGATAACAGCCCGGTCAATCCGTGACCAATCTCGGCAGTCACATAATGAGAGAATAGTCGATATTACGTATCACATAACACATCCTTTACTTCTTACAGCGTTCTGGGTTCTATCAATGTAACGCGAATACGTTTTCTTTGTCCCTTTTGACATATAACGATTAATGATAACAATCATTTCATATCATGGAGGCATTTAGCCAAGCAGTAAAAGACTTGGCGAAAAGCGTCACCAAATGTGAACCACGAATATTCAATATTACGTACCACGTGAAATTCTTTTACATTTTTGGCCGTTTTGATGCTCGCATCGCATAGATACGGCGCCAGGGAGATATTTATTCTATCAGGGATTGACCATTAAAATTAAAATTTAGCAAAATTATTAAATGTATATTTACGAAAAAAATGAGGCACATTTAATAAAATAAAAGCAATATCACCCTGAAAAAAAAATCCGAAGAACAAAGTAATTTAGATGTATTTACCATCCCGCCACCCATGTTTTCAGTTGGTGAAGGCAATGTTTTCTTCATAAAGTCAGCACATTGATTTATATTTATATTTATATCTACAACTTGTTCACCTGAAACCAGTAACTTCAACGTCTTCAAGTTATTAAAGTAGCCGGCATATCTATGCGTGGGAGGTAAAAGAAAGAGAGGGTATATTTCCGAGGGTTAACTCCGCCTAATTTCTTTACGTTTTTTGAAAGTATAATATTGAACTGTAAATAACCGCCCCAAAAAGTTGTTGTTTTAAATTTGACCCCGCCCTCGCCGCGCAAAATCCACAGGTTATTCTCGCAAACTTTACAACGCGTGGTGCGGAAAAGATGCGCAAAGCCCCTCAGCCAAAATGAATTCTGGGGCATTATATATGTCATGCTTAAAATAAAAGCACAAAAGCGAGGACGTCCATGATAGTCAGGTCGACCAATACAAATATTTGGTGAAGCGTCCCGGGCTGCGTCGGGCAGGTCGCTGGAGCCCTGAATTTGCCAAGCTGGGAAGACTTAAAAGGCTAAAGGGTGTATTTTGTGATAATCATAAATGTAATATTCATTATTTTGACAACAGATACTATGGCTATGATTGGTCACGGATAGACCCATCTCAGTGCACATCATTTATAGACGATTGGCTTCATGTTCGTGTAACCACGGTCACTAATCTCTTTTAGTAACCGTGGTATAACAGATAAAACCCGATTATTTGCTATTTTCTAATTAGGAGAGACATCTACAGAAGGAGTAAACAGGCGCGTATTGATATTTATTTTACTGAAGTTCAAAACGCTCATAGGTAAAGCATGCGTTATGCGATACTGATCTTATTTGTTCTGGGTCATTACGCAGTGGCCGCGATTGGCTACTGAAACCGGTCCGTCTGTCCCTGGTCCTTCGCGGTTCCCCGTTTTAGTGAGCACCTGCGCAATTATCTAAGAGTGGTCGCCGACATGCACGGTCTTTATGAGCGGTTCTGAAATGCATCATGGTGTATCCTTCTATGTTTACACGCCACCGAGTCAACACAATACACTGTCCAATACAATACAGACATCAGGTTATGGCGCCTATCGCGATCGGAATTCAGTATTAATACGTTCAGTAGAAACAAATAAAATAATCAACATTTGAATTGGAATGTTAAAATCCCTCACCGTGATGTCCATAACGACATTATTAGTCAGAATTTCGCATACACAAAACCAGATTATCACACCTTGTACCGTATAGTAGTAGACTTACCATTTTTGAGTCTTGGCCTTCATTTCTGTACGGAAGTGAAGGCCTGTCCTGTACGTTCTCGTAGAATCCACGCTGGTTGTAAAACGAGGGATTGTGAACCATGCTTTTGTATGATGAATTTGTAACACGTTCAATGTTAGGCTAGTGCCGTCGTGTGAATTGCTTGTTGTGGTAGAGGTGCACTAGGTGTGGTGTCTCGGGTCACTGGTGTATAAAAGTAAGTATGTTCCCAATTGTTATGTAAAGAAATGTACTCGAGCGCAGTTCAACAATATGTCTTAGTCCTTTCTCGTACAATTTTAATAAATACGTAATTTATTCTGCATGTTACAGTAAATTGGAATCTGCTAATGGGCCGGGAACGACCGACGGGTGTTGGTAATTGGAATTAACTAACTGCATCCACTTTGCTCACTGAATGTTAAAGCTGCAATAGCTTCGATTTCAAGCATTTAAAAAAAATATATAATCAAATAAAGATGACCTAATCTCACCGAAATATTGTTTTAGACACAATCGGTATGGGAAAAGAACCCTGCACATGGCTAATATCACGTGAAATGCGATGTGAAAACTAAGGGTTGAGTAAATAAGCTTATTTTTACTGCACGACACTCACAATTATGGGAAATAACACATAAAATCGTCTGTGGGAGGCCCTCAGAGAGAGAGAGAGACTTAGCTACTCAAGGTCGCGAAGTATTTGACATTTTGCCTAGGCCCCCCGGTAAAGTTGACATCTTGTACAGTAAAATTGGATTTCAATAGATCGCGCCCTCTGGAGACCCGGACACAACCTCGCGGCGGCCATGACCCAAATTTTTAAATCATCGACATTCTATCCGGATGCGCCCGAAGTTGAAGTCAAAGTTCAGCGTTCTTATGATGTAGTTGTTACCTTGACGGCTTTACAACAGTATCCGGCAATACGCGAAACAATAGTCAACCGGTGTTATGACGTTTTGAGAGGGCGATACCATTTCGAGTTCAAAAATGAAATCGCTTGAACATTGTAGCAGACTTTCGGCTTTTCACACGTCACTCGAGATCCCGCAGTGTGCGGAAAATCACCTATTCCACGTCTTCCGAGTGTAATCGGTCGCATAGTCACAACTGTTGGTCGATATTTTGTCGCCGTGAATTAAACATGTCTCATTGTTCGCGTTCAGCCGACCGACTCTTTAAAACTGCTGATCAACAAAGAACCGGCCGACTACAGACGGTCGTGTACTTTCACTTTAAAACTAGATTAAACACATACAATAACGAAACATATCTCACGGTACATCAGATAAGGTTGCCAAGGCGGTCTCGTGAACCCAAAAGTGAGCACCGATTGGACGTTGACCATCATGTCAAGACAATCGCTGACGAACCGCGAAAACATAATTTTCCGAAAATCGGCATTTCGCATATGCACACATGGCGTGCAACGTAAAACGAGGGGTTGTGAACCGTACTTCGGCATGAATTCATAACACGTTCGATGGTGGGCTGGTTCTGTGGTGTGAATTGCTTGTTGTTATAGAGGTCGACTTGAAAGTGCGCTTGGTGTGGTGTTTCGGCTCACTTGTTATGTAAAGAAATGTATTTTTCTAGCGCAGTTGAACAGCATATGATGTTGTTCTTTGTCGTACTATTTCAATAAATACGTGATTTATTATACGTGCTACAGTAATTTAAAATGGAACCTACTAATGGGCTGGGGAACGACCGACGGGTGTTGGTAATTACATTAACTAACGGAATCCATGTCACATTAGTGATTGTTAAAATAATTAACCTACAGCCACAGCTGTCACGAGTTATTGAAACAACAACCATGATAGACATTGTATACTAAAACTTTCTCGATTACAATTAAATCTTGACACAACGCATACACGAACGAAACACATCTTAAATCTGGTAAGGTTGCCAAGGCGACTACGTCACCCAACAGGGACCACTGTTCGAAAGTTGGGAATTACGTCAAGACAATAGTTTCCTGGGATAAGTTTTCAGAACTCGAAAATATGGCATTTCTCATACGTGTGCATATCTGGATATGGGGTGCAACGTAAACATGCACACCTGGTGGTCGCTTTGAGAAATAAAGACTGTTGAGAAATGTTGGAATTTGTATAATCGATAAATTGAGTGATTCACACTGCTGAAACACGGTTACTAAAAAAAGTATCCGTGGCGGAAAACAGCATTCACTGTTTGTAGTTTGCAGTTTTTTTTTCAGCAAACAATGTTATGTATGCTATTGGGTGATGTGAAACTTGTTATAATAGATAAAATAAAATATTGCATACTTCAAATATAAGAGTTGTTATTTTGTAAGAGAGCGGGTGTGAGTGGTGTATGGTAGATGTATTTGTGCATGGTGGATGTCTGTTCGATGTGATAAAATAAATAACACATGGTTATTCGGGCAATATCACGATTTGTTGTCTGCCCTCGGCTGTTGGCCATGACCATATCACGGTCATAACCACCATCCCTTGGACAGGCAATAACTCGCCATATTACCCCCATAAACATGTGTTATTATTTAATTAATGGTAATGTTACTCGCATTTACAAACTACCCACCATAAATATTCTACAGAAATCGGCCGTACTATATTTTCACACACTCGTGCTAAAAAACAAACGTACTTGTATCATATATTTCTAATAAGTAAATGAAAATCCCATTCTTTCATTGATAAAATGCGAAATAAATCATGGGAAAAGACAATTTGGTCACGTGTTTGCCAGTTCTAATCGCATACGCATCAATGTATATACATGTAGGATTTACATTCTTATTATTTCCTTGATCTTCTTTTTGAGCTTCGCAACGCAACGCAACGCAACGGAACGCAACGCTTCAGTTGCAATTTTCTATGTGATCGAATTACTAAAATACTAATAATAATATATCTTATCAAAAAAGCGCAATGCCACGAAATTGGGTGTAAAATGTTGCCGACTGACTCATGGCTACGCAATTGCGCCACCAACGGCAAACTTAGCCTAAATTCGGTAAATCGTACAGCCATCAATTCGTGCAATAGAATGTGTCACTATTTAAGTTTACGCCCTGCTTGGTGATGGCCATCTTTGTGTATATACTACAAGCATATTACTCTTACGCAACTTCGAAAAACCGATCGTTACAAGCGACGGCATTGGCGTTTTGTTCACAAAGTGCCAACCAACTTAACGGACTCGGTGATATCTGGAAACTGCAGTTGCTGTAGAATGATTCATAAAATCTAATAAATGGCAGTGAATATATTATTAACTTTAATATATGTTGCAGACTCATGTACCAATAACATTAAGTGATACATAAACATTAATGACACGTGACCGATAATACATTACAATGAATAATAATTACAATATATTAGAATAAATTAAAGTTCATGTTTGTCGATGGTCTAAATATGTAAAACAACATTGCATAATTGATAGTTGATCATGTAGTCCAAGTATACATTCTCTAGGTCGGCCACTATTTTAAAACTCAATCTGCCACCTTTCGCGAGTCTGTATTCCATTCAGATGAGCTGAATAATCATATAACTAATCAACTACAGTGGGAAATCTTAGGGAGAGTTCTGGTTTTCAGAAAAAGAAATAATTATATTAAAAATACATTTTTGTGGACAGCGTTGTAATAAATTGGCTACACACAATTAAATAAGATTGTCATAGGTATACTTAATGCTTTTTTATTGCCATGTGAAGTTCATCTGAATTACAGTTAAGCTTTCTTTCTACTTTAGAACACTTTACGAATGACAATATGATTTGATAATAATGGCAACAAATCATTAATACATTTGAACTTTTATTATGTTAGTATGTGTACTCGCATGTACACATCCATCATCGAATAGTATGTAATATATTATCCGATTGGAAAACACATATATGTGTGTTCTCTTGGCATGAGATATTTTTTTAAAACTACTAGTGACAACACGTCACAGACGGAAATCCGATAAATTAAGATTTAAAATCTAACATGATAATCTAGAGACAAAAATTTATCTTTGGGTCCGTGATAAAAAATAAGCAACGTTGCCAAAACGTAAATAACCACATTGTATTTGGTATAATTATGATAGTTCAAACACATATTATATTGTAGGATAACAAGTAAGGTCATTTTTCTTCAACAGCAATGTACTGAAGTGAAACACGTACACATAAGCATTATCCAAATAATCCAACAATCAAAACACATTCTCGATTAAGGCCTTTAAATTTGCAAAGGGAAACAAAACAAAACGTGGATTAATAATGCTATAACCGCCGTATGATTACATAATGGAATGACGCAGCTACCAATCCAAGGTGGTTTCTTTTGAAATGGAGGCCACACTTCTGTCGGACAATTGAAACCAAATCAAAAAAGCTGACATATTATGAAAGACGATCACTATACTGTGATCATTGTCAAATTGATTACTGTGTAGATTACTGCGTAAATTACTGTGGATATTAAATGCCTGTCTTTCAAGAAGGTTATTACCAAGGACCACAGACTTTTGATATGTAAATTTTAGGTCAGTTTTTGTAAGTATCCCAACTACCCGGTTTTAATTTATTCAAGTTAGGTGCGTGTCTTTGCACTTCTGACAGAAAAGTGTTGACGAATGACAATCGCATAGTGGGGTCAAAATATAACGTCACCATGGTACGTTTACCCCAAGGGGGCATCAACGTTCCGATGGTAACATGTCTGTTGTTATGGCCCGATATCTCGTACGGTGTTGCATCCCAACTCTTCATACAGGAAAGAATCTAAGAATCAATAAATAAACAAAATATAATATAAAGAAACTGAAATGTTTAAGGAAAGGCAAGTTGCAGACTCTATAGTAAATGGCGTTGTCACGTTTGTACGACATAATGTGCCTATCACAGCAAAACATATCCACTAGTTCACATTATGAGGGTATTAACGAATACAATATTGCAGTTAACTATGTATGAATGACTGCTAATCTACCAACCTCACAGCAACACAAGCAATGTAGGCAGGGACACAGTGTATCACAACATTCACTGCAATCACCTTTACTGCCTTCGATAGTGGTCTTGGAAGTAACTCCCAT